AGAAAGAAATACAGATTAAATGGTATACTTAGTTGCACTAACATATCATATACATAAATTAAATCTGTGTATAAAAAAAAATAAATGCTTTATATTATACTATAAATTGAGTAGAGATCATAAATATAGCAAGAAACATTTGGAAAAACAAAAGATTATGTATAAATATTTAGTTCAGGTTATAATCATTTATTGTCAAGAACATATACCATGAGTAATTGAAAAAAAAAAATCTAGCAATATACACAGCTGCTATCTATATTATTAAGGAACTTATGCCATAAGTAAGAAAAATTAGTATAGAAATAAAATATTAAATCTATCTACAGAAAAAAGATATGTTTTTTATTACATTATAAAGTAATTGCAGAAAATTAAAAAATAAAGAAACATCTAAAACAAATAATGTTGTATATAAATATTTGGTTCAGGTTATATTCATTTATTGTGAAGAATATATACCATAAGTAATTGAAACAAAATATGGCAATATACAAGGCTACCAGGTATATTATTAAGGAGTTTATGCTATAAGTAAGAAAAATTAGTATAGTTTAGAATATCAATAGACATTATTATACATATACTAAGGAAAAGGAAATATTTCACTGTTCACTGAAAGAAAGCAGAAAGAAATAGGTAAAAACCGTAACATACAAAATTACAGTAAAACTAAAACGAAAGACGAATTAAAATATATTGGCATAAGTCTAAAATAATAAGGGTAACATCAATGATAGCCATATTTGTAATAACAATTACCCGGCACATGTTAACAACAAATGAAATATAACATCATCATAACCGGAAGAGAATAAAATGTTTGGATATAAGAAACCGATTTTTTGATAAATGAAGGCATTATATTTTAATAAGACTTAGAACACTGTGTAAATATCAAATGTCAGTTAATCAAATCAGAATAGCAGTAAATGACTGAGAGTACAGTGGAGAAGAAAAAGAGTAAAGTGCAGAGGAAACAAACGGGAATGTGCAAAATAGAGTCATAGACAGAATCGGTTTTTATAGATACAAAGTTACAGTAAAACTAAAACGAAAGACGAATTTAAATATATTGGCATAAATCCAAAATAATGAGGGTAACATCAATGATAGCCATATCTGTAATAACAATTACCCGGCACATGTTAACAACAAATGAAATATAACATCATCATAACCGGAAGAGAATAAAATGTTTGGATATAAGAAACCAAATTTTTGATAAAGGAAGGCATTATATTTTAATAAGACTTAGAACACTGTGTAAATATCAAATGTCAGTTAATCAAATCAGAATAGCAATAAATGACCGAGAGTACAATGGAGAAGAAAAAGAGTAAAGTGCAGAAGAAACAAACGAGAATGTGCAAAATAGAGTCATAGACAGAATCTGTTTTTATAAATGAAAAGGAAGAAAACAATTAGCAAAGGTACATATCCTATAAAAGCCTCACACGTAAGAATAAAGCAAAAAAGTAAAAAAAAAAAAAAAAAAAAAAAAAAAAAAAAAAAAAAAAAAAAAAAAAGTAGGGGAAAAAATTATAAAACAATATAATAAAGAAAAAAAAATTCTGCAACATACTTAGTTGTACTAACATATCATATATATATATATATATATACACGTTAAATCTATGTACAGGAACAAAAAAATGCCTCATATTACACTATAAAATGAGTAGAGATCAAAAATAAATCAAGAAACATTTGAAAAAACATAAGATTATATATAAATATTTGCTTCAGGTTATAATCATTTATTGTCAAGAACATATACCATGAGTAATTGCAAAAAAATCTAGCAATATACATAGCTGCCATCTATATTATTAAGAAATTTATGCCATAAAATATTTCATATAACAAACGAACATAACATTATAAATCAATATTCTAAAACATTTCAACCGAAGTAAATTAAAAAACTGAATACCTGAATCAACAAACCACGGGCAAAAGGATAGATCAAAGAAAGCAACCAAATTAACTGAGCAGTAGAAATAGAGCAAAGGAATATAAAGGAGGCGGTAAGGTTAGTAACAAATGGCTAGTATCATTAAGGTTTTTAAACAGTAAGGAAGCAGAGAGAATAGAACAGGATAGATAATATTAGCTGAAAAACGAAGACAAAGAAAGAGTATAAAATTATAGCAATAGAATAACATACATTATATATACAGAAAGTTACCAATGTTTTGCTCAATCTCGGGTACAAATTCATGCAAACAGAAAGCAATAGAAGTAATGATTAATTAATAACAGCCGTCACATAGCATGAAGACCACCGTAAAACGTAACCAGTAAATAACATACAGTTAAATTTTAGATACGTATTATACAAAACTAAAAGATAAAAAATGCACGTGTTAGAGTAAAGGATTAACATAAATATTAATATATTTAGATGACGACAAATATTATAGATTTGCCCATATTTAGAAATGCTATTTAAAAAAATACGAAAAAATCAAAATACAGTAAACAAAAATAGGGACGAAAAAATAAATAACAGGGGAAAAAATTGTAAAATTATGAAAAAAAAACAACAAAGGGGAAATTTTTTCGCAAATATACCGGCCAAAAAACAAATAAATAAAAAACCATAAACAAAACAACAAAAATCAAAACACCCACAATAATCATAAAAGGAAAAATGGGAAAAATGACTGCAAATATGAACGGAAAATCGAAACCCAAAAAACCAACAAAGCTAGAACAAACAGAGAAAGATAATAAGGTGTAAAAACATAGATCTGATGTAAACGACCAAACAGCAGAAAAATAAAGTGGATAAAACCATAGATCTGAAACAAACGACCAAATCCATGAAATCCAAACAAAAAAAATCAACAAAACCGAAGACGAAGAGAACAAGCGGCGCAAGAAAAGAGAAAATGACCATGCATATACAACCAAAGGAAAATAAAAAAGTAAAACATAAAACAGCCAAAAATATATACGCAAAAAGAAAGAAGATGAGAAGCAAAGAAATCTAGTCCGGAAATGAAAAGAAAAAAAAAAGGATGTAGAAGGTTACAGAAGGCAGCAAACGGAAGAGAGAAAAGTTGGTCTAGAAACGAAGAAAAAAAATACAGATCTAGAAGGTAGCAAACGAAAAGGAAAAAATTAAAACACTCAATGTGAGTGCAAATGACCAAAACGGTTAGAATAAACCAAAACAAATGAAATTGAACTAAAGGGCGATATAGTAACTTTACATTCAAAATGACATGACGGAACTAAAAAATCATCTGAAGAAATATGTAGGGATAAAAAAGGAAAGATACTGTTCATTGTATTGTAGCGTGAATAGTGAAACCATTCCTCTCCTTTAGTATATGTATAATATTGCAAAACGTTTCGCATATGAGGGACAATGTGGCAAATGTTTTGCACCCCATGAGTTAAAAACTTTTTTTTATACACTTTTTTAAGCTTTTTTTTAACTTATTAACTTTTTAGGTTTCTTTTTTTCATTCTTTTGCTTTACCTGTTTTTGTTTTTGTTTCTTTTTGTCTCATTTTTGTTTCTTTTTCTTTTTTAACAATTTGTATAATTATTGTTTAAATGAGTCACGAAGGATGCGCACAATTTTAACTAGTATTTATATATTCAAGTAGTTCCTCACATTAGCATTTCTTGACGGCACGACTTCTTTTGCAAGGGACGTTTGGTTCGTTTGAGAGTGGAGGCTCTCGAGCTTCTCCCATGCTCACGCGTGATAAAGCTTGGCTTCCTCCGATGACCTTCTCTCACGATGGCGAGGCCCGTCTAAATGCCCCAGACTCACAGTGGAGACAAATCTTTAGTTGCAAATAAAGTTGGAGGGCACTTTCGGGATTTTTGAAAATAGTCTTTATTTTTTTTCATTTATTTTCTCCCACGATCACATTTTCAAAAAGAATGTTGATCTCTACTGTTTCCATATCCAAAATACCTATTTGTTTAGTCAAACATCACTTTTTTCCATTTGATTTACAAACACATAAAGTATCTTTTGTGTTTGTTCAATCAAATAACCTTTCATTCACCACTAAACTTTTCAAAACTCCAAAACTACCCTTACTAATCAATATTAAATACTATTTTAATGATTAACTTATAAAAACTAAATAAATAATATGTTTTAAACAAAAAGTTCCCAAAATTAATAAAAGCATGTCAACTCCCTTCAGCGACAAAACAATCCCCTCCCAACCGCAACCCAACAGTCCCTCCACTGACTTTGAGTAAGAAAAGTCTGAAAAGATACATGATTTATCCTTTACGGTGAATCTAGGTGACGTAGAAAAGAACTAGACATAATTCTCTCATTAGGATACAACAAAACAAATTATTGCTTAAATCATACCATTAATCTCTTTAACGTTAAAAAGATACGCTTTGTTATGGGTTGTTTGTTTTATACACAAGTTTTTTTTTTTTTACTTTCCACATCCTCCTTAAAAACTAATTTTATGCACACCCCTTTAAGTATGTTTGGTAGAAGGCATAGAGAGCATAGATGGATAGAGTTGGAGAAATGAAGAATATAAAGGACGAAAAAGATTATTATAATATTTTATATTATTTAGTAAGATAGAGAGAGAATGAAAAATGTGAATCAATGATTATTTAATCTTGCAAAATCTCGTATCCAGACAAATAAGACGTAGTTCATGACCAACTATAATGTGTCACCGTCCACACTTACAATGCGTTTAGAAGGGAGATTCGTGCCATAATTCGAATTATAATTCATAACTCGTTACAGTATTTTCTCTCACAAAAAATACACATAAAACGAGAATGATTCTAAATTTATAAACTAAACATCCACTTCATATCCAATCTAAGAAAAAAATCCCCCTACATTAATCAAGACTAGGGAGTAGGTACTACTAGTACTTAATACTACTGGTATTTCCATAAAATATCTGTACATTTTTTTTCCGTTTGATTTTTCTTTATTTTGAACAAATTTGCTTAAGAAGTAATCGAGTAACGCGTGCATCATATTTGCTCTCGTAAATGAGGTATATTATAGATTAACTAAAATAAAAGGCGACTCGTAATAAAATATTTTTTGACACTCGTATCAGCAATTCATCAGGTGAGTGAGTTCATGTTGTGTTGTTCAATAACCTTAAGTAACATTGATAAATAAAATGTTTTAACACTGAATGCATATTCACCATTAATGAAAACACCTTTCGTAATTGAAGTATTTCTTGAGTGGCATTCAAACGAACATCTCCAAATGGCAGCTTCTCAAATAAGTTACTGATCTGGTATCTGTTCTCGTTTTCAATTGTATAATCAACTTCTCTTGGGTGGAGGCTCGGACAACCCCAATGCTTTCCCCAAAAAGAACATTCGGGATTCTTTTTCATCTCAGTTTCATCGACGCAAATGATGATGCAAGAGACATGGCCTCCTGTACATGTGATGCATCTGTCCCCTGAATTTTGTAGACCAATTCAGAAATCAACAACATTGACGATGAAAAACTCGCAACGACACACATAACAAACATATTAAGATAAATAGTCACATGCATCGGATATAGGACAGCTTCTCAGCATAATTATTAAAAGAAAAAAATCCGTCACAAATGATCAATATCATCAGGAATTCCAGACCACGCTTATTCAAGTGATACGCAAAGACAAACAACCTGGCCAGTAGCAAGACCGCCTTTTCCCTTGCCGCACCTTCCCTTCAAGGGCTCTAAAGCTGCCGTCAACCAGGCTGTCACATCCAATAGCTTACTTTTGTCTCCTTTCTCTGGAACTCCAGCACATACCACAGCCTTATTTGTGGTTACGTCGGTGCTGAAAACCATAGCAGACATCCCCTGTTGTCCAGCCACACAACACTGTTTAAGACCTTGCTCAGATTTCATAAGCTCGAATTGGTACAAAGTTAAAAATAAAAATAAAATCATAACGTTTACGGTCTCTCTGGTCCATACCTTCAAGTATCCTACATAAGTTTCCTATGATGGAATATGTTCTTTAACGAATAATATTTTTTGGAGTCAGACTCGTCATGTAGAGGAGAATCTTCAGGTTGAATACAACCAATAGAAAAAAAAAAAAAAAAAAAAAAAAAAAAAAAAAAAAAAAAAGAGGGACAAGGGCAAAAAATGCTAAATACCTTGTCCTTCATAACTTTCGACACTGCTTCACGGACGGCATTTACATCTAAGCCAACATCAACACTGCATATGCAGAATGCCTTTCCCTCTGACGTAGCATTATCGGCAATCATAGTTGTAACCTGGATAGCTTTTTGTAGATTTTCTTCAGCAATCTTCTTTTGCGCCTTTTTCACTTGATTCTGTGGAAGCCATATAATTTATTAGGTCAAGAAAAGGATTGAGCAAGTGGAAGAAGAGAACAGGCATGGAAACTAAGAGGCAAAAAGAATATATTCTATTTAGCTTGGTTGCAATACCTGAAGAAGGGCAATCTTGCTCCTAATATCAGCTTTCTTGGCAGCCGGAATTAGTGCAGAATCCACACGATTTTTCAAAGAAGCAACTTTCTGAAAAGACAGAAAATATTTTCAGCTGCATTAAGTTTAAGGATACATGTAACATGCAGTGTGATAAAAAGTAGATATGAGATATGCTACAACACAGGTGTGAGTCAGTAATGACAACGGGTCACAAAAATATTTCTGCAACAGCACTCAACATAGATATGATTACTAACCTTTTTTTCACACAAATTGCATGAAATATCTATAAGGATTCGGAATACATGTGAATATCAAACTTTAGAATAAAGACCAAGAAAATTAGATGGCAAGATAAATGATGATATTGAAAGCACAATCCATGGAAAATTAAGCAAACAAGACGTACACACTCATAAATCATAAATGGAACACGATGATGTTTGTTTCCTGTATTTATCATTGATTCTGAATCATGATTCATGGTTCTCTACACTGTTTTTCTCTCACAAAAAATACACGTATAACGAGAATAGTTCTAAATCATGATTCTGAATACACGAACTAAACGTCAAGCATGCCTCACGGTCATATGATAGAGATGACTACCTTTTCTAGTGAGATTCCTTCATCCTTGGACGCATCATCTACTTCCTGCTCAAGTGAGTTGGCCAATTTCATAGCCTCAGAAGCACAATCAGTTGTGACAGCAGTTATTCTTCGAATTCCTTTCGCAATTCCTTCCTCAGATAAAAGGGCAAAAGCCTTAGCTTCTTTTGTATTTGATATATGGGTCCCTATGCATATTCAACAGTGTAAAAACATTAACAACACAAGTAACAAAGCCAAACTTCGATTAGAAACATTTCTGCTGAAGTTGAGGTAGATCCCAATAAGAGATCAACAAATACAGGTATTAACCTCCACACAATTCTGCTGAAATTGACGACCATTTTTCATTTTCTGGATCAGCCAGAAGATCCTCAACTTTTCTCCCAATTGCTACCACTCTAACTGGATCAGGGTAGACCTACATATATACATTTTGAAAGAACGTAATAAGAACACGGTTTTCCAAACAGAACTAATAATAGCAAAACTAAGGGAAAAAAAAGGTGAAGGGAACAATATCAATATATCAAACGTACTTCTCCAAAGACAGCTCGCAAACCATTAATGCGCTTGGCATCTGCAAGGGTTGCCTCATTGGAATAAACATCTAATTCTGCTTTAATTTGCTCGTTCACAATAGATTCAATCCTTCTCAAATCATTAGGATCCACTGGCTTACCTATTAAAGTTTAAACATGTTAAAGGGTCCAGAATATATATAATCTGATATAACCCTAATTCATCAAGTTAAACTAATCTTACCATGAGAAAAATCAAATCTCAGCTTCTCAGGAAGAACAATAGAACCCTTCTGGTCAACGTGATTCCCAAGTACTTCCTGCACTCATATTACAGAATATTTTAAGAACATGTCTATGTTAAAAGAATCAAGACTAGAAACCTTTTGTTATTCAAGCATACCTTAAGTGCAAAGTTCAGCATGTGTGTGCAGGTGTGGTTCGGAGCAATAAGCGTACGTCTGGCATAATCAACCTGTACAAGAGAGTGAGATTCAGTTAAGAAAAATGCTTGCATTGACACAACCGAATTACATATGTATATACAGTTGACTTACTGCACTAGTATAAAATACAAACACAAAGAAAGAACACGTGACATGCTAAGAGGGGTAACAGAATAAAATTACCTTGCAAATTACTTTGTCACCCACAGAGAATTTGCTACTCTCTTTGGGGACATGACCAATATGGAGAATAAAACCTCCAAAAATTTGAACATTAACGACTTCAAATGAACCAAAAGGACCTTCTAGTGCTCCGGTATCAAAAATCTACAACCAAAATAACAATGTAAGAAGCAAGCTTACTTAACAGTGCCCTTATATACAGAATTCATTCCAAGTTTTAGAAACTCTTTCGCTACTAGTTCCATATGTTTGCCCAATAATAGAACTGATATATCATATTATGAACACATGTATGCATGAGCACACAAACATTTGCCCGACTCCCAGCTAAGATCTACAGACAAACTTTAATGCAAGCTAACAATCTCAACTGACACGAGCCTATTTAACGTTAGCAACAGTGACAAGCACACTAGATCAGACTCTTGAACATGAATAGTGAACTTTTCCAAGCAAAGTAAAGTTGAAGCTACAAACCATCCACTCTTGCATTTTCTTCGACCTCAGAAAGAAGATGCTTGTTTAGAACTGGTTCATATCTTAGGCGCCCAGGTTCAAAAGACATCCTTTTTACCATATTTAATTACTAAATACTGAACTAATATCTAACAAAATTCTTGTTTTTTGTTTCAAATTTCATTTTTTTCTCATAAAACAGAAGAGTACAATACCTGACCACCTTGCTCAGCATAGAAACTTGTGGACTCCAAAACAACACCAACATCACCGCTCCCTGATGAACTTTCCAAAAATTCAGAACCAGTATAAATTGCTTTTACTGCAGTTTCATGGTCCTGAAATGATAGGCATATACACCAACGCGTCAAATGAAAAGATTGGTGCACTCCCCAAAATTCTTTTTTTTTTATGCAACTTTATTTCAATAAAAGTTCATTATATCAACATTACTAGCAAAACAAACAACGCATCATGTATTGCAATAAGCTTTCTAATCCCCGACAATCAAGAAGAAAGGAATCCCCTAAGAGTTGGATCTAAATAGTCACTTAGATGTACAGACACATATATATGTATGTATCCTCTGTGAGGCCTGACAATTTCCAAATTCCAACAAAAGATAAAAAAGAAGTGACTGCAATACACCATTCCACACAGTTGAACACTCATTTAAGAATTAAGACACTGAATCTTTTCGATAAAAAACATAGTTCGGTGAGGCATGACTATGAAAAGAAGACTGTCAGACGGGCAGGTGCTCATGCTCCAATTATAATTGCAAGAAAGAGAAGTACGGTTCTTCTGGCAAGCTCCCTTTGCAACTGATTTACCACAAATGGATTGACCTCAAAGAACATTTGGCGTTCTAAGCCATGATAAGATTTAAATATCTGATAATTATATATAATTACCAATAACTCCTTTTCGAACTCTAGATAATTTTCTATGTATTATCAATCATGGAATAAACATATCAAAAGATGAGTAAATAATAATCATCATGCATGTTCATTAACCTTGAACCAAGTAAATTTGAAGCTATCATCTGTTGCCACGATCCCCTTCTTGTGCAATGCTGCAGTAGCATCAGCATCCATGATGATAGCGCCACCAGATTGCTGTAAGGAAAACATTGGAATAAAAGTTGACATGAGTACCAGCCCCTCAGAAAATTCATTTTCTGTTACATTACGGAACCAATTACCCCATTCTGCATACTAAGTTTCTTAAAGCACCAATTTTGGTTGATTAGCAACCAGCGCCACTATTAAGAAAACAGGTGATTTAGGATGTGGCATGACTTCACAAAAAGTTGACATGAGTACCAGCCCCTCAGAAAATTCATTTTCTGTTACATTACGGAACCAATTACCCCATTCTGCATACTAAGTTTCTTAAAGCACCAATTTTGGTTGATTAGCAACCAGCGCCACTATTAAGAAAACAGGTGATTTAGGATGTGGCATGACTTCACAAAAAGTTGACATGAGTACCAGCCCCCTTAAATTTATATTTTCTGTTACATTAAGGAACCAGTTACCCCATTCTGTACCTTAAATTTCTTGGATCTCCAATTTTGGTTGATTAGTGACTACTGACTAGAACCACTATTTTCACCGAGTCTTTGAGGGATGTGAGGAAGAGAGTGTAGTAGTCTGGGATTAAATAAAACTTTGGATAGCTATATGGATTCACAAAGACTAGAACTACTATTAAAAGGAAACAGATCATTTAGAATGCGGACAAAGGGTAGTGACTACACAAATAAAATCCAAGTACCTTAGTTTGAGCACTCCTTGATCTTTCCCTTGCCTCATCCATGGCATTATTGAAACCCTCAACATCCACTAGTAAGCCCCTTTCCTCTGCCATTAACTGCAGGAAAAATCATTAGGCGTAATGCACATTTAAAAAATATGTACCACAACAAAATGATGAACTCCACGTACCTGAGTCAAATCTAAAGGGAAACCATATGTATCCCACAAGACAAAAGCATCCTACAGCCAGGATAGGAGCAGAGTTATAATACGACAGAAGATAAGGCATTAAAGTCAATTCCTAAAAAGAAAATGGCTATTATTCTCAACTCCAATATTACTTAAATGAGAACTCAAGATATTGTTATTTTTCTTGGCATTAAGTTATCCACTTCATTAGACCTTTTCTTTAGCACTAACTTCAAATTTCCAACTTCCAAGATCTATGTTTATATGCATGTGTAATCAGTTAGTAAGCAATTAAACTGCTAGTTTAAACAATTATCCAGATTGGGGGGAAATTTCAATTGCATATATTACAGGCCCAGCAATGTGTTATTTTGTGATACATTCATAAAGAAATGTGTTTACTCCTGATGCATGAAAACTAGAATGATAGATATCCTCGTATTGCAAATCAGAAGTGAAGACTTTCTTGGAAAATCAACTTCAATCAAAATTTTAACGACTTAGTGGCCCACTTAGAGCAACTTACACTTTAAAGAGACACAAAAATGGAGCAAATTTAGTGCAATGTAAAGAAAACAAACCTTACTCCATTAATTGAACTACGGCTCAAGCACAATGTTATTTCTTTCTCCCTCTTATTAGTGGGAAAGATTAAAAATTAAAAAAAAAAAAAATGATAACAACTCATTTTTAAGAAAATAAGATAACTTCAGGATAATACTCACCTGCCCACTCAATACCTTCCCCTCAACGTCCTGAGCAGCTTTCTTAAATTTCTCAATACCCTAAACACAGAGAGACAATCAAGTCAGTTTCATTGCATATAGGAGCAAAAATCTCATGATGGTTGCATAAAGTGCATAAAATCTTGAAACGATCTCAAACAAAACTATCGCCTATTTGAGCCCTTTAAGATAACAACTTTTCCTAAATAGACAAACTCAATAATAAAGAAATGTTTCTGAGGTTTCTCACAGTGAAATCAATGGAAAGAAAAAGGAAACAGTAACATTGAATAAGGTCTCAAACAGACTAATCCTAGAAGTTGATATGCCATAAATCATTAACCTGTTCATTCGTTACAAGCTAGACTACTACATCAACTTTTTATTTAACTCTTCTTTTTGAAGTGCCTGCCCCCTTAATATATATCATACTAGAGAGTATAAAAATATATTTCTGTTACAAATGGAAAGGGTTTCCATATATACGACAAACAAGTTCACCTTAAGTAATGTCTTCCCAAAACTTGCTTCTTCTTCAGCTATTATTTCCCTAATGCGCACCTCATGCTGCTTTAGCTCCGGGAAAACATCACCCAACACTTTCACCACAATATTTACAAGTCTGCATATGACACAAATATTAAGAACTGTGCACTTTTTCGTGGGGGATAAAAGAAAAAATTCTTGTACCATTTTGAACTGAAAACTGGGAGAGAGAGAGAGAGCAGAGTACAATATCTTTTTTATCAGAAACAAAACAGTAGAACACTGAAAACAAAATTGAACTTTTTGGGACAAATGGTAGTGTCATGTTAACAAATTGACAAACTTTTCTCTTTTTGAATTTTGACGAACAAATTGACAAGCATTTACCCATGGAAAAATCCTTCTTGAGCTTTTAGGACCTCACTTCCATATCGAACAGCTCGTCTAAGAATACGCCTGAGAACATATTCACGACCCTCATTGCCTAGTAGCAAGTAAAATATCACAAGTCAACTGTGGAAAAAATAGAAATTGGAAGCTTACAATTTTTCAACACATAGAAAACCAGTATAGTTAAAAGACTAAGTGATTGCATGCATTACGTACTCCAGATAATAACAAAAAACCAAAAAAATCAACCAATCAAAACACCAAAACATATTCTTTCACATGATACATCATGTATTGAGATCCATTAGAAATTGCTACTGCCATTGTTCCAATTTGCCCCCTGAGAAGCTATGCAGACACAAGTAACAAAATCCATTGAAGAAAAGGACACTTTAAATTGGAAAGTATTTTGCGATCTGTATTGGTTCTGGATGATTCTGTTTTTTCTTCATTTTCTTTTATGTGCTGGGGGATACCCTATTCTATTTTTCTCTTTTCCTTTCTTCCCCTTTCCTCTTGTAGTCTTGATATTGTTGAACAAACGTACACTTTGAAGAAAGGAAAGAAAAAAAATACATATCTTCATTGTCTTAAAAAGAATCACATCATTGACGAAAATGTAAAACCATAAAAAAGAGGAGAAACAAATCCTGCTTACTTATCTTCCTTCAACATATTATGTGGACAAGCCTCAGAGGGCTTCCATAAAAGGTTGAAGTAGAAACTTAAACAACCACATTCAATCAAACGTCTACAACCTCAATCAGACGCTTTAAAGAAAACAAAAAAAACAAAACAAAATGAAACGAAACAAAAATAACAAATAAACAACAACAAGAACAAGTAGAACTATGACTCTGTACCCGGACAGGAACCATCAGCGATGGCAAATGAAAGTGTTCTTATATGATCCGCAACAACTCTGTATGCCATATCAACTTTGTCAATATCATCTGATCCAACTTTCCCACTATATGGTCGAGCCCCAGTTGCCTGGAAACAAATTGAAGAGTAAAACAGATCAAATTTAAAAGAAATATGTGAAAATATAGGAGCTGCAAACAAATTGAAGAGTAAAACAGATCAAATTTAAAAGAAATATGTGAAAATATAGGAGCTTAAAAAATTCACATTTATGTATGGTGACACTAATATAAATTGTATGCACGTACACATACACAGACATTCATACATGAGTGCGTACACAACATTTACATATGAATGCAAACATACAAATTACTATTTAAAATATTGTGGAAAACAGAATTTACTGGAAACCACAAAATAAAAGGCCTAAAAGAAAGAGGCAAAAACCCTCTAAAAGAAATAACAGATGTACCTTTTGGATAGCGTCAAAGATGGGTAAGAACACATCGGTATCGTAATTGCTCATCTTGTTCTGAAGTATAGAAGTCAATCTCTCGAAACCCATCCCCGTATCAACATGCTTAGCAGGCAAAGGCTTTAGGGAGCCATCATTTTCTCTGTTGAACTATTGAAGAATGAAAAACAAAATGAACAATCATGTAAAGTTAAGTCTTATGCGAATAATGAATCACCTAGTTTTAGAATAGCAAGGTTATTTCAGCTTAGAAGTGGTACAAAATCACCTCAAATATAATAATAACAATGATGAAACTCACTGCTTTTGAGAAATAAGCTTTCAAACAGAATTCAAATCATCGATTGCCGAGTTTCTGGACAACCTTATATAAGGGATACCAAGAACTACATAGAATCTTAAAAAAGAGTGCAGAAATTCTTACTGAGAAATATTCATTTACCTGAATAAAGACAAGGTTCCAAATCTCAATGCACGTGGGATCATCATTGTTAACCAGGGATGCAGCATCACGGTTACCAATTCTGTCATAATGTATTTCAGTACATGGTCCGCACGGACCAGTGTCGCCCATCTCCCAAAAATTATCCTATTCAGAATGTAAAATGAGAAACCAAATATCACACCTATTTTAGACTGTTATATAGAGTCCCAAAAATTGTGGGGCTTTTTCCATCACAAATGCAAGACAACAAAATAGAAGAAAAGCATACCTTACAGCCAAAAGGCAGAACACGTCCAGAAGGTAGAAAATTGAGCCATATGTCTCTGGCTTCATTGTCAGGAGCAAGACCAGATTTCTCATCACCACCAAAATAGGTGGCGTAGATCCGATCACTGGGAAGCTTATAAACCTGTAGGCCAGTGATAAAAAATAAAATAAAATAAAAAGCGACAAAAATTTTCAATCTTTTTTTTTTTATATAAGATAAGAAACAGAGAAATTTATTGAAATGAAAAGTAATAAAAATGTACAACCAAAGAAGGACACGGTGTCCTTACAAACAGTGCAAGAAAATTTTCAATCATAATCAAAGAAATGCAATGATTTTAAGGCAAAAAGAAGAAAGTAGTGAATGTAGGGTCCTAAATTTAAGTAAACATGCCATTTTACCAAAATAATCATACTTATGTCTTGATGTGTTGTAAATTAACAGGATTCTTCACATGTTCTAAATAGTGTCATCCAAACTGACTCTGGTAAATTCTCCTCAAGAAAAAACACAAAAATACCGGAAAGGTAAAGATTAAAAAAGAGACTGCTTGCATGAGACACAACAAAGGAAATAAGAAGATTACAAGTGAAAATGCATTAGGCAGACAGGCAATGCAGATTTAATGGAAAGATAGGGGGTTTGAGTGCAAAAGATACTTTCATAAACCTTTTGGTAAAAGACTCTTGAAATTGAGGAAAAACAAGAGGAAGCAAGAGATAGAGATATGGTAGCCTTCCACAGCTTAAGACTTTACCATATGCTTTTATCATTTTTTTTCTTGGATAAGAACTGAGAAATGTTATTAACAAAAACAACAGGAAAGATTATATAATAGTTCAATGGATGAGATATCCACGAAGAGAAAACTTAAAAAAAAAATTAGGAAAATACTATCAGATAACAGGATACTTTACCATTTAAAACCCAACAAAATGAGAAAGCAATGATTTCAAGCCAGACTAAAACAAATCGCATCCTTCCAACTCAAACCAAGCCAGACTAACAATTCAGCTATGTTTGACTACTCATAGTAACAGATTTGAACACCAAAAAGGTAATGAGCACCAAACCTAAGAAAATCTTAATCAACACTTGCCTTGGTGAGAAGCTCCCAAGCCCATTCAATGGCTTCTTTCTTGAAGTAATCCCCAAAAGACCAATTGCCAAGCATCTCAAAGAAGGTGTGGTGGTAAGTGTCTTTCCCAACATCATCAAGATCATTGTGTTTTCCACCCGCTCGAATACATTTCTGAGTGTTGCAAGCTCGACTCAGTTTGCTGAGGGCGGTATTCGGATCCGCCGTCCCCAAGAATATTGGCTTAAACTGATTCATTCCTGGTATTCAAATTCTCCGGTCAAGTAAAGCATATACAGTGGAAAACAATTCGCAGAAACTGAAATAAAACACGGTGGAGTTACTAAAATCCACATTTCCACTCGCTTTTCCTAAAAACCAAACGGTTAAGAAAATGCCAAATCGCTGATTCAATAGCAGAAAATCCACAAAACAAGAACAACCGTCATTCAAGTAAAGATCAGGATTTCCGCAAAGAACAAGGGGAAAGAAAGTACAAAAAATATCAGAAAATTTACGAAATTGGAAACGAATTCGCAAAAACCTCAATAACACACGCTGGAACTAGTAAAATTCACATTTCATTTTCCCAAGAACCAAACAGATAAAAATGCGAAATCACTGATTCAATAGCGGAAATTCCACAAAACGCGTGCATATAAGAGAACAAACGGCGTCCAAACAAAAAATCAGATTCAGTACAAAAAATATCGGGAATTTCAAAATATTTGGGAAAAAATTCGCAAAAACGAAAGAGAGGCACGATGGAGTTAGTAAAATCCTCATTTCCACCCGTTTTCCCGAGAACCAAACAGATAAAAATGCGAAATCACTGATTCAATAGCGGAAATTTCACAAAAACACAGGCATAACAGCGTTCCAGCAAAAAAAAAATAAAAAAAAAAAAACAGATTGCGAGCACAAAAAAAATCGGCTTGAGCTGATTCATCGAGCTATTTGCAAATACAGCGGAGAATTCACAAAAAAAGGGAAAAAAAAAATAAAGAATCTATCCAGAATCAATTTTCGCGAGAAACAAACCAGCATTGGCAAAGAGGAGAGTGGGATCATTGAGAGGAACGACAGGGCTGGACTTCCAGTCAACATGGTTCTTGTCCTCGAAGAACTTGATGAAGGTGTCCCTCACGTGATTGGCCGGCCACTCCACGTCCTGCGAACCCATGGCGGCGGAAGACGTAGGAGGAGGAAACGGCGGCGGCGTATGGGATGAAGAAGAGCGAATGGAACAAGCACGAGAGGAAGGAACGATGGAGAAGAGTGAGAGAGGCGGCGCCGAAGAAGGAGGAGGAAAAGGGTTACGGAGTAGAAGAAGAGGGAAAAGCGAAGGGAAAGCTACGCCTATCTCACGGAATCCTCTCCTCATCCATTATTCTCAAAGTCCCCCCCTTTTGTTCTTTTATTTCACGCTAACCTATTTGTCCATCTGAGTTTGGGATATATGCTCCGCAGTCCAATCCTCTCTAACGTAAACGCAAGTCGAATATTTTTGGGCTCCCTTCTTTATTTGAATTTAAAATTTTAGTTTTATAATAGTAAAAAAAATTTAAAAATAATTATATTTAATTTTTTTATTATAGTAAAAAATTCTCATATAAATTTATATCTCAATTTAAATTAACAAATTAAATAAACCATTAATTTATCGGCGCTTGTTTAGTATCAGAATCTAACGTTTTAATACATGCTCTAAATGGGCCCTAATTTTGTGAGAAAAAGAACTCTAGAACTTTTTTTTAATTTTAATTTGATATGATAATAAATAAAACAAAAAAAAGATAATTTTTAATATTACTCTTTTAATTCATCAATTATAAGAAAATTACTTAGAAAGTTTAATTTTTAATTTGTAGTATTTTTTTAAAAACCTCTATGATTACAAAATACCCCTAATTATGTAATATGAGCCACATTTCTGTTTGAAAACTTATGGAAGGAGCATTTTTGTTAATAATTTATAGTTTGGTGGAAATAGATTTTACGTTTTGAAAATTCAAGAGTAAAGTATTATAAGAATAATAGTTCGGGGATATTTTTATAATTAATCCTTAAAATAAATAGCAGATATTAGAAAACATTAAGAGCATGTTTGGTGCACCCGTATTGTATTGTATTGCATTGTTTAATTTTTATATAATACGGTATTTGGTCGGTGGTGTTATTAAACATTATACTATTTTTACCATTATAATCTATTTATGTATTAGTTTGTAATAAGATAAAATTTATGCATAACCATAACCTAATTCGACTCGAACCTAACATTTAGAGGAAGCAATGGGATATCACATAGTAGAGTTGCTACATATGAGTCTTTTTGTAAACAAAAATTTTAAAATGGGGTTAAATTGTAATTTTAAAAAAATTAATGAGCAAAAATATAATTTTAAAAAAGTTGAGTGGTTAAAATATAATTTTGAAAAAATTAAGGTTCAAAACATAATTTTTAAAAAATGTAGAACTACACATTTCCTCTATTACACAACTCGACTACTAAGACTGCAAAAGAACTCATGGGAAGAAAACGAGAGACAACTAGTAGAAAATGTGTATTTTATGTGTTGTGTGTTTCCTTCATGTGGAGAACGCCTTATATAGGCTCTCGATAAAGAGGTTACATGACATGAAATTATGGAATTTAAACACACACCATAATGGAGCAAAAACTATTAACTTTTCCAAGATGAATCCGACCACATTTCCTCACCTAAATTCAGATCTGATGATGGAAATACTTAAGCCATTAAGCTCATTAACCATGGCAAATTCGGTTTTCACCATTAAGCCCCATTACACACCATTAAGGACACCATTAACCCATGCCAAACGATTTTGGCAGAATGTGGAACGTCTTGGGCTGAATAAAAAAAATAAAAATTACAAAACAAGGCCTGCACGAAGTAGGCTTTTCAGTCTGACATTCGTGTCCGCAACCTGCGGGCACACACATTGGCCCTCAACCCGCGCGGGTCTGTAATTTGCACAAAGCTTTTCAGGTATACATGTTTACCTAGGCTTTAAAGTGCAATCACTTGTATACACCACTAAGGCTTCATTCCTAGCAAATATGGGATTTTATTATTCTAAGGGCTTACTTTGAGTATCAATTTATCATTCACCTAATATTCATTTTGAGTGTGTGAATATCCGATTTCAATCTCCTCGTGACGGAGAACGCAAATCCATCGAGACCCGTTCTAAAATCCAATTGGCCTCATACTAATATGAGCCTCAAAATGGACATTTAACATAGCTTATCAAGCCATTTTTCTAACATATTGTGTTTCTAATAATTTTAATTTAGTACACCTGTCTTATAAAATATTAGTTTTTAGTACCTTGAAGCCGTTTTTTAGAACGTGAAACGTCGAATTTTTCATTTTTAATAATTTATGATTTAGTTGATTTAAATTTACTATTTTAAGATTTTAAAATGCAAAGAGGTTGTTTGGTTACAATATAGTGTTTTTATTTTCTAAACGTTTAATAAAGAGTACAATTGGGTAAACTAATTCATAAATTATTAAAAAGGACAAAATCAACATTTCATGTCTCAAAAAGTATTGGGATACCAAAAATTAATTTTTTCCAAACGCTGAGGTACTAATTTAATATTATCAAAAACTTTACCCTCTTGAAATCTAACATTCTTCATCATAAAGTTCAACTCTAATCTCATCCCACACTCTAAAACCCAGCCCTCTAAAATCTTATAAAACCTAATCTCATCCCACGCTCATCCCAGTCTTCTAAAACCCTAAACCTAAAATTCCCAAATCTCTAAACCGTTAGAGCCCCATCAAAGACCTTAAAACATATCGAGCCTGGCTAAAACAACAAACTACTAAAGGGCTTATTCGTCAAAGATAAAAAAGTAAAAAATAAAAAAGAGATAAGTGTAGAGACTGTTACGTGGCAGCCCTATAAAAAAGAACATACTCTCACAAAAATAAAGTGAAAAATAATATGAGTGTGTTTGGAACTCGTTTTAAAATAATTTTGTTTTTTGTATTAAAATGGAAATGAAAACGTTTTTAATCTCAAATAGAAATCATTTTTGAAAATGCGTTTGGTAGTTTTATAAAGAGATTATTTTCAGTATAAAAAAACTATTAATGTCTATTTCTCTACTCGGGAGGAGAAAACTGAAACAAAAAATGAAAAATAACTAAAAGTCGTTTTTCATTTTTCTCCCATTTTATACTAAACCAAAAAATCGTTTTCATTTTTATTTTTTATCTTTAATTCTACCAAATGTCGTTTCTCTCCCGTTTTTATTTTTTTCTTTCACGAAAAACATGAAAAATAAAAATAATTCCAAACACAATTTATATTTTTAAAAAATATATAAAAATAATAATAAAATAATATAAAATTGAATTTAAATATTTATGAAAAAAATAGTGTAATGGGAATTTGAGATTTGTACTTTTAGGGGATGTTTGGTACCTAGATTTATTCTGTGATTCGAATCATGGTTCGTAGTTTGTTACAGTATTTTTTCTCATAAAAAATACATGTAAATCAAAAATAATTTTAATCACATAATTTTAATCATGAACCAAACGTCTCCTTAATATAATTCTTTTTTTCTTTTTTTTTTTTGTTGGTTTTGAGAATTTCATGAACCAAACGTCTCCTTAATATAATTCTTTTTTTCTTTTTTTTTTTTTTGTTGGTTTTGAGAATTGTACTTTTGCTGCAACTCTTTTCTTTCTTTCTTTCTCTCTCTTTTTTTCCCTTTTAAAAAAAGCAGATACATTTCTTTTCGAGATATTTTCTTAAGTACAATAATACAATCCTTCTTTCTGATAATCATTATCATGCCACTAAGGCTACCACCTTAATGTTCTTTTTAAAAAAAAAAAAAAGAATAAATAAATAAAGCGGCCACCTTAAAGAATTTTTACCCTCCCTCGCCCATTCCGATTGGACCCTTCCAACATTCTCTCTCTCTCTCTCTCTCTCTCTCTCTCTCTTCCTGTCGGGGTCTCTTTGCAGTCTCTGTGCCGGAATTCCCGCGACCATTGTCGTTTCTGCTATTTCTCCGATCGAAACCCTAACTTTTGCTTCTCCCTCTTCCAGCCAACGGAAATGGTCCGATTCTTCATCTTCTTCCATGGTTTCTGAAGGTTGGGCGCAGTCAAATTCCCGCAGAGATGTCTCGCCAAACGACGTCCTCGCATTTCCACAAGTCGAAAACTCTCGACAACAAATACGTAAGAATTGAATCTTTAGCTTCGCATTTTAGGGTTTTTGTGGTAGACGAACTTTTCTCTTTATTATTATATTTTTCTTTTGTTTTTTCTTGTTAATAATAATTGTGTTAAGTTTTGAATTCAGTGACGTTTGTTGGCCTAAAATGTGGATGTAGAAATGGAAATGGTAAATGCGAGTAGTGGTCGAGTTGAATTGGTAAAGCATTAACAATTTAGGACCAGTTTGCAGATTGAATTATCTGAAAACCCACTGCATTTCTCTGTTTTTTTTGAATTTAATTTTAGTATATTCTCGTTTATTTTGCTGTAGAGTGAGGAGATAATTGGAAAAAGAAGAATATTTTGAAATTGGAAAATATTGGTAAAAAGATATATCTTTTTCTTTAGGTTTAGCGAGTTAAGTGAGAATTGAAGTTCTTCGCCTGATGACTATTGATTCATGTCTCTTGTACCAGTTTGTTACTTTCAGTATGCTCTCTTTCTCTCTCTTTGGAGAGATATAAAATGAGTTTATAAAGAACACAACTCGTCTGTTTTCTGAAAATTTAAATGTAAGGAAGAGAAAATAGTTCTTAAGCATAGTGTTTATGCTGCTTTTATTTGACGACATGAGACTTTTGCTTCAATGAACCGGGTAATGTACTAAATTTGTTGAATTGTTTCTTCACATTCTATGCTTGAAGAAGCTTTGAGCTTTGGTTTTTAGTTTTTATCTTTTTTATCAACTGAATGGCAGTTGGGATTTCGTTGCGTTAATCTCTTTGTAATTGTTTTTTTTTTCTTTTGCAATATTGGAATATGTAATATCTCGTGCAGATGCTTGGAGATGAGATTGGCAAAGGAGCGTATGGTCGAGTATATAAGGGTTTGGATTTGGAGAATGGAGACTTTGTTGCAATTAAACAAGTGTCTTTGGAGAACATTGCGCAGGAGGATCTCAACATCATCATGGTTAGATTAAACCCCTCTGTGCTATTTCAAAATTTTCTCCTGTATCTATGTGCTAATTGAATGAATAAACTGAAATTCAGAAGCGTCATGCTCAGTTAATTTTAAATTTTGCTTCAAAGTTCAAAGTCCACGGGTTAAGTATCATCAAGATTATATTTTCTTAATTTCTTTTTAAATTCTGAACTTAGGCATTTTAAAGTTCTCTGTATCAGAAAGGTAAACAAATATAAGTCCTAATGGCAATAGTTGAATGACTTGAAAAGTGGAAAGCTCATTAATCGTTGAAGGCAACAAGAAGACTTGACTGCAATTTCTCGCCGCTCTAATGCATTGCCATTATTGATGTAATGAATAGGATGAAAAGCTAAACACTATATCAAGTTGCCTTGTTTATTATGAAGAATTGAAGTGTTAAAGATTTCCTGGAAGGTTTCAGTTAATCTTTCGCTTGAAACTCTTTCCTTCTGTTGTTTAGCATTAGATTATGACATCAAAAACAAGATGGTGAATTCTCATTTATGTCAGGAATTCAAGTGGACCAGCTTGTCATAAGATATTATTTTCTCTACAAGACTAATTTGGCTAACAGTACTCTTTTCTTTTGGTTGCTTTCTCATTGGTTGTATGCATTGACGTTACAGCAAGAGATTGACTTACTGAAGGTATGTAATTGCTTTCTTTCTCTTTCTTTGCTTTCCTTTCTTCCTCTCCCTTAACGTGGCCTTTCTTTTGCAATTCATGTTGTGTGTATTCTTTTGGGCCCAACTTTGAACTTACAATAAATAAGTGTTTGACTGATGTATGTTAAGGCCTGTTCTGAAACTTTGAAATTCTAAAATCAGGACACCTATTGAAAGAGAGAGGGAGAAAAAAATACCAGCAACAAACTAATTGCTGTTTTGATTTTTAAATTTTTGCTAGACTTATATTTCCTTTAAAGTGGTCTCTATTCTTACGCTTGTGAACTGTAGCTTCTGTATGCTGTCTGCTTTTGGGTAAAGCTGTTTGAGATTTTGTTTCTCAATGACTTCTATTTACTGCATGGTGTATATTACCCCGTACCCTTGATATGCTGTGTTGGACAGCTTATTTGAGTTTTTTTAATTGTGTGATTTTGGATGTTAAAGTTATTCTTTGTGGGTGCTTGTGGAAGAAGATGAAATAGGAGTTATTCTTTGCTGGTTTAGGATTTTTTTTTTTTTTTTTTTTTTTTTTAAATTTAGTGCGTATTTTTCTGTTACAATTTCGCTGTTTCAGGGTGGAAATCTCATCCATCTTCTTGCCATGTACTTGATTTTTTTTTTTTTTGATTTTATCAATAAAGATTCAGAGTTTTCTATCAAGAAAAGAAGTTTAGCTAATTTGAGCTTCCATCTCTTGTGCAGAATCTGAACCACAAAAACATTGTGAAATATCTTGGATCCTTAAAGACAAAGACTCACCTCCATATAGTTCTTGAGTAAGTGAAAGTTCTTTTGATATAGTTTTTGAACTTTCCTTTGAAATGTTATTATATTTATAGAGTGTTCATGTTGTAGGTACGTGGAAAATGGTTCACTGGCAAACATTATCAAGCCTAACAAATTTGGACCTTTTCCAGAATCACTGGTTGCTGTGTACATTTCACAGGTTCAATAAGAGTCTTTGCAGTTTGCTCTTTTCTTTTATTAATTAATTATATTATTATTATTATTCTTATTAGGGATAAAATCATTTTTGTACCCTCTGTTATAACGAGGCATCTCGTTGGTACCTTGTATTTTTATTAATATTAAAATGGTACCTTCACCTTTAAAGAAATGTTTTTTCGGTAACTTGAGACCCATTTTTGGGACATTAGGGCCTTGTTCATTTCACAACTCAAGTTTTATTACTACAGTGTTTTCTCTCAAAAATTCAAATTCAACTTTTTTGCTATGGTGTTTTTCTCTCACATACACAACTCAAATCATAACTCAAGTTATGACTTGAGTTCTGAAATGAACATACCCGAAAATGTCCATTCTACCTTTCTCCCTAATTAACAACAAACTAATAATTTTTGTAAAAAATTCTGAAAATGCTATAAAACATTTAAAAATTAAAAAACTAGAATAAGTTAAAATGTTTTTAGAAAATATCTTTAAAGTTATTAGTTTCTATTTAATTAATAAAAAGGGCAGTTTGAACTAGTACGTTCCAAAAATTGGTTCAGGGTAGCAAAAGAATGTTTCTTTAAAGGTGAAATTTTAATATTATTATTATCACAGGGTACCAACGAGATGTTTGGCTATAGCAGAGGGCACTAAAATGATTTTATCCCTTAATATTATTATTACTACTATTATTTAGGGTTTTATCTTTTGTGATTTATAAACTCGTGCCACAGGTTTTGGAAGGCTTGGTATACCTACATGAGCAGGGCGTAATCCATCGGGACATCAAGGGTGCAAATATATTAACAACTAAAGAGGCAGATTTTTATATATATTTTTTCTTCCATTCCTCTTGTTTTTGTTTTGGTGCTATTACATACATCATTTTCATTGTCCCATTTTCTTTTGTCAAAGAGTGTGGAATTTGCCCTTATGCATCGATGGAAATATGCTTATTTCTCTGAGTTGGTTGTCATTGCATTAGTTTCGTTATCAACCAAGAGTTACTGGGAAAGGAAAGGGATTTGGCTTGTGGATTGAAAATTATCAACAAATCACAATTTTGATCAGTAAAAAACTAGGCAAATTGCGGGAGGGTACTCATAGTAAACGTAATTGGAGGAAAACCCATCCCTTCCTATCTATTTTCCTATGCATCTCTCTGCCCTATACACATTGCCTAACTCTCACACCACCCCTCTCTCCATTTTTCCCACCCCGGTTTCATGCAAATGTTCCATTATCCTTTGTTTGGTGTGGGGTAAGAATTTTTGTTATTTGTTTTCATGCGTCTTTGATATATACTTTCAGGGTCTCGTGAAACTAGCTGATTTTGGTGTCGCAACAAAATTAACGGAGGCTGATGTCAACACGCACTCAGTTGTTGGGACACCATATTGGATGGCTCCAGAGGTAGTTAATTATAACTTCTGCTGATGTTGGCAAGATCTCTTTTTTTCCTCTCTTTTGGCGCTCATTCATGTGTCATTCATTCCTTTTGTTCTTTGCTAGTTCATAGTTGCACCTTTTACTGTTTGGATTGTTACAATTATGTTCTTATAAAAAAATGTTACAATTATGTTATATAGTTCGATAATGATTGCAAACGCCGAATCCAACTCTTCTTTTTAACAAAATCCTAATTAATGTATGTAATCTTCTGAAGCCAACCTAGAGCATTGTACTGATCCTTTCTAATATGTGTTAAAAGAAAGGTTAGGGTTTGAAACAAAAAATGTGGTTAGCTACTGGTCTTAGCATGCAAGATGCATATCATGCTATGCTAAGCGTTCATTCTTCGTACCATAAGAGTTACCTGGCTTTTTGGGAAGGATACATTTTGCAAACTTCCCTAATTATTGGATATAACCAAATTTTATGCCGATGATATATATATTTTTTAAATTTTATTTTAAGAAGAAACAACCTTTCATGATTAAAATTCAATTAGAAGCGCAAGGAACAAGAAGTGCTCAAAGAAAAACAGAAAGAAAAAACAAGAGAGAAGTGGGAATCACAGATCAAAATAAAGAGAGCAAAAACAAAACACAGAAAACTACTAAGTGCCTATAACATTTTTCTGTTAAGATAAAAATGGAAATCCCTTAATAGCTTTGTTTGTTGAAGTCCATAAAGAAGTAAAGAACCTTGCTTTCTGAAAAAGACCGCTTACGTCCATCTCGCTGTCCTCAAAAGGTCTAGAATTTCTTTCCATCCAATTCTCTTAAAGTATTGAAGGCACAATATTGTTCCACATAACTTTAAGAGAATTGTACGGTATCCAAAGTCAAATTGTTTTGCCAGCAACAAGGAATTGCAGTGTGCTGTGTGCTGGAAAAGACCATCAGAAACTTGCTTCATATCAATCTATTCCATAGGCTCCTTGCCACTGAACGGTGAGAAAAAAAGATGGTCTATAGATTCCCCTTCATTCTTACACATTACACACCAAGTAGGAGAAATGAACAAGTGAGGATTCTTCCTCTGCACACTGTCACCTGTATTAATCTCCTATGAAAAACTAGCCAAGGAAACACTTGTACTCTGTGGGGCACACAACATTTCCGTATAAAGTTGTACAGCTTAAAAGAAGAATTTCCCCTCCATTGAAGATGAAATGAAACAAATATTTACAAGAATAGACCAGTGATCCACTCGACACCAAAGGCTTCTATCAGGCTAGAAGGTTTCAAAGAAAAAGTCTCCAAAACTGAAAGAAATTAGGACAAATCCTTCACTTCTTTATTATTAAATTCCTTCTAAATCTGAAGTTGCTGTTGTGTCCAACAGAAGGTGAAGGATAAGTTTCTGCAATTTGGAATTGGAAATGTTGAACAATCTAGGGAAGAAGACAACAAAAGAGTCTTGCCCAGACCAAGTATCTTTCTTGAATAGAATTCTTGTACCCACACACACACCCACTTAATAAAACGAAGAAAGAAATCAATCTCTTTAGATACATATTTTGATGGTTTTCTTAAGGAGCCTCTAGTCATGGAGTTTGAGTCCCAAGTCCCAACCATTAGAATGTAACTCATACTCATTCCTAATGACCAGTGTCCGAAAAGAATGTTGCTCCATCCACAACCATTGACTTAATAATGCCAAGTTTCTCTTCTTAAGATTCCCGATCCCTGTTCATCCTCACTCTTTAGGTTTCACCACCCTATCCCAAGCAACAAGGTTGTCTACCCTTCCTCTTCTCGATTGTCCCACAAGAACTCCCTCGTTAATCTGTCTAAAATCCTAGCAACTGCCATAGTGAATCTAAAAGTTAGACATGAAACAGATTGGAATGCTAGCATGGACAGATTGAATAACATGTAGCAGTGTGTAGCTTAGATACTGGGTTTTGATGTCGTTGTTTGATTTAACATGTCAAGTAAGAGTGCTAGATCCTGATAACGTGGTGGCTGGTTTTTGGGAGGCCTGATGGGGAAGATTTGCTAGAGTTTCTGATCGATGTCATTTGTTTTGAGACTCTCTCTCTCTCTCTCTCTCTGTTTTTTTTTTTGTCATAGTTTATTGTAATTGCTTTTCTTTAGAGGATACGTTTTCCTCCTTTCCTTTTCCTTTGAAATTGATTCGTAGATTAAAAAAAAAAAATCATAAATCAATAAAAGGAGTTTTTTCTTATAAAAAAGAAGAGTGCTACACCCAATCCAATTTCTAGTATGAAACAATAGAAACAATAAGTGGTATGAGTGACATACGTTATCTTATGGATAAGTGTTTGCGCACGCGTGTCTTTGTATGTGGGGTTTTTCTACAATAGGCGGCGATTAGATTTTACTCCAATGGTTAATATGTATTGAATTGTTGTTACTTAAAAAAATCCAACTATTTAATATAAATATATCATTTAATGCTTTCACGGATGGGTTAATTGTTCGTTAGCTGCTATTTAGGTTGATTGTTTTTTTCTTAAATGTGTCCATTTCAATTTTTTTTTTCAAGACTTCTAAATTTCTTAGGTCATTTGGGGTAACGAAAACTATATTATATATGCTCTTATTTTTTTATTTTTTGTTTTTCAATTGCATGCGGTAGACCTTCGGCCTTTTTTTTTTTTTTTTTTTTTTTGGCTAAATTTTTTTTTTTTTTTTTTTTTTTCAATGCATGCGGTGAAACCTTGGCTTTTTTTTTTTTTTTTTTTTTTTGGATAAAGAAGGGACAGGAAGAAAGAAGCAGAGCAACCCCCAAAAAAAAAGAGTCCAAGCTTCCCCCACCCCATCTCCACCTCCCCAAAATCTGGGTGTAAAAGTCAGACACGACCAAGTACACCCTCAGCCTATAACATAATACTCAACCTTTTCTGGGTTTTTCGTTATACTTTTTTCTTCTTTTCAGGCCATGTCTTCTTTAAACATTAGATATGTATTTTTTTTAAATATATAAAGCTATACAAATATTTTAGAAAAATTATAAATTTCATGAAATTTAAAGTGTTTGTAACAGGTAATTTACCATGCCATTTACCTATTGTAGCAAGTTAGTTTCAACTTGGTCAATGCCAACTCAACATTATTAAACGCTATCTTCACATATTCTCATAAAAATGTTTATATCTATTTAGAAGTAAAACTATGTACCTGTGTGGTTGTGTGTCTAAATATTTGTATGTGTGTGACTGTACGTGTGTGTATATATCAGGCATGTTCCCTGTTAGTAACAAGAATATTTTTTACCTTGCATGTTTTCTCTTGCAAAATTTCATATTGAATTATTGATTATGATTAAGAATGTTTCATTACAAAGAATTATTTTGTATATAACTAGATATGTCAGTTCAACTTATGAATAGATATGTGAAATCTACTTATAATTAGAGTTGAACTTGAACATGTGTAGCATTTGCATCTCAAAGCATAGAGTTGCAAATGTGACCTTTTGAGCTGGAAGAAATAAAAGGGCAGTTTTTAATTGTGATGGCAAATGCAAATAAATATAACTAACCTACAATTTTCTTTTCAAATAAAAAATAATGTCATAAACTTTTTAAAGAAGGGTAAGAGCATTTGCAAGTTACCTGTTTCTTATCATAAAAAAGGAGCATTTTCCAATGCAATGCCAATTTTTAGCATTTAGGAAAATTTTCTCTTTAACAGAGTGCTAATTTTGCTGTTCAATTTGGCATATGCTTTACATGATGCCAAAATTGCACCAAGTATAGCATATATGATTGGCCAAAAAAAAAAGTAAAACTTATGCAAAATTTTGACGCTTGATTGATATTGGTTGATATGTTGATCTTTTTATTTAATCATTACTAGATTATCATTTTTATATTATTTAAAAAGTAGAAGTTTACTTTTACAAGTTTTAAAGCTTAATAATTATGACACAAAATAGATATAGCATTTCAAAAAGCATTATGCATTGGAGTACAAAGTAGAACAAAATATCAAATATGCCATTTTCACATTTTTAGTGTCAAATATAGCATTGGTATTGGCATTTGCATTGGAGATGGTCTAAACATAGAAGAAAATTATGAAATTTGACACATAAAATTAAGGTGGAACAAAAATGGTGTAAATATATATACTATATATAATGGTGGCTAAATAAAAAATTAGAGTTTTTATGTAATATACGTGATGCTAGGATAAATTTCAGATTCCATGTTATCCTTAAATGTGACGAGAAGTACTTTTGGTCACAAAAAAAAAAAAAAAAAAACATTTTTATCCAAAAAGAAAACGATGTTGTTGAGGACCAACAATAGAGGGAATTTACTGTTTTTCTTCAACTTTTGGAGGTTGAGCACATGCACAGAAGCAGTAAGCAAGCATGTGGTCAACCTCCAAAGGTTGAAGTTAAAGAGGCATTGCCTCTTTTATATAATCATATTGTATGTACATTTATATATATATATATATATATTGTATTCTCGTGATGCATGGAAAATTTAATTACTTATTTATTGTTACAAAATGATTAATATTTCAGGTGATTGAAATGTCGGGGGTTTGTGCTGCTTCTGACATTTGGAGTGTTGGTTGCACTGTGATTGAACTTCTTACTTGTTTGCCGCCTTACTATGATCTGCAGCCCATGCCTGCTTTATTTCGCATTGTTCAGGTGTGGGAACTGCTCCTTTTTACTGCTAATTTTTGTCAAATAACTATTCGAAAAGAAATTCTTCCAGTTACCTGGGATATGATGGAGTTGATCCCCTCTTTAACCGCTACAGAAAGCTGTTTTTGTACTGGAGAAAGGCACAATTGCTTGCAATGTTTTTGTAGATGTTTATTTATTACATTGAGGCTTTTGGTCTGTTCAAATGCCATTCTGCGTTCAGTACGGTAATGCTGATAGCTTTTTCTCTCCTTTTTCCTTTCTGTCTCCCTACTTTTCTTTACTCTATTTCAGGACGAGCATCCTCCAATACCTGATAGCCTATCTCCTGATATAACTGATTTTCTGAGGCAGTGCTTTAAGAAGGTGGGATTGAACTATACTTATATAGTTTGACTTTAAGCATGTTCTTATGCATAATCTTCTATTGTTTATGTTATTATTTCCATCTTCTCTTAGTCGCTTTCTCTCTCTGAAGTATATACAGATTGTTTATTAGTTAAAAAAGTTTGTCCGAGGTTCATGAGGAATCAGAAGAAATGTTATTTGGTTAAAGGATCTTTCTTCTCTTCCCTATATGACATTTATTTGCTTTTCACAGGATGCTAGGCAAAGGCCTGACGCCAAAACACTGCTTTCTCATCCTTGGATACAAAATTGTAGGCCTGCTCTGCAGTCTTCAATTAGGCATAGTGGAACACTAAGGTAAACAATGTGGTTTATTTATGGAATAGATCCCGGCACATTTTATCATCTTCTACCATGTAATCCATTCTCGTATGTTCAATTAGTAGTATGCTAGTTGGAAGGCTTGAGGACAAGAAGTATTGTGATAGGAATCTGATAATTTCTTCAACCAAACAGTCAAACACTCACACAAGCAGCCAACACCATTTTTATGCAACAGAAGAGCTTTTATTGAAATTTACTTCAACACCAGCTCATACAAACCAAAACCAGCTAGAGAAATTAAAGAAAACGAATTAGATAGACTGGAGTATTCGAGAACTCCTAACTCGATGGTATTCGAGAGACCACCAGCTCTCCTAATTCACTAGACCAAACAGACACAATTCCACACTCAACATAATGCATAACTCTAGCCCAGCCAAACACTAATAACCTCCCTTATTCTCCTCTCTGCCTACTCAACACACACACACAATAACCACTAATTATTCAAACTACTCTAAGACCCCAGCCCCCTGACTCTCTGCTCATTTTTGCCCCTCATAGCATTCACCCTCCTAAGGATTGGCATCTAACATATTGTATTGACTGTTTCCTTGGCAGTGGGAGCCATGTGTAACAGTGAACCATTACCCATTTAATTCACTGGGTTAAATTTTTTTTGTATATTTTTCTTACGTGTACTTTATTATTATTTCTACTTGCAAACATGTGGTTTTGCAATGTGCTTTTATTCAGTATACAAACTGACTTTTTTTTTGAACTGATGTTGAGTGTAGAATATGCACACTTTTATATTTGAGGAAAAAAGACGAAGAATGATTATGTGATAATTTTTTGTGGACATGTTTGGTTTATATGTCTGGGCCATGAACTTGCAACATCATTGCATCAATGAAATTGCTTTCTTTGCAACATAATGCTTATGTATCAAATTGTGTTTGCTCTCATATTTCTTGTTATACACATTTTTTTAACAAGAAAAAGGGAAAAATGTTGATGCTTGAATCCTCTCAAATACTTTACTTATACGAAAATCTTTGTACATGCTAACGTAGCTTGTATTTTCCCCCAAGAATGGAATTTAAGATGACTAACTATAATGTTCGACAATTCCTTTTGCTTTGGTGTTCTGGCCATTAGAGCGTCTGGCATGAATTACCTTGCGGTATTGGTGAATTCTTATCTTTGAAATTGGTGTTGGTTGGTGATTTACTACAAACAAACCAGTTATTTTGCAGAAATATACAAGAAGATGTCTCAACAGATGCAGAGATCTCAAATGGAGACCATCAAAGTTCTGGTGGAAGCCCTTCTGTGGAGAAAGTGGAAATAGCTGCTTCTGCAATGAAAGCTGTGCGAATCCTATCTCTTACAGTGAACTACAATATGTTATATATGCTTTTGCTTAGATGTTGGAATTAAAGTTCTTTAGATTTGTCTTCTGTGTGCGTGACCACATTTTATTATTAACAAGAGATCTTTGTGGTTCAGGACTCCAAGAAAGAGTTGTCATCAAGTGAGGTAGTAGACATGACCAAGTCTGGTCAGCATCCTGCTTCAGATTTAGGTCATGTTGATGAGAGAACAGAGAACCCGGAAGATGATCTGTCAGATCAAGTTCCCACTTTAGCCATCCATGAGAAATCATCCCCACAAAATGGCGCAGGAAGATTATCCTCTGATAAGGAAGGCACTTCCTCTGATCAAGCTGAGCTTCTTGAGCTCCCACAACCAAGCAATCATGATGAAGTTTTGGTTAATGGTGGAGTAGGATCCCCCGCATCAAGGGTGAAAAATGGAGGGAAAGGAATCTCTTCATCCATTACAAATAGACCATTTGGTTTTGGACAAAGAAATCAAGATACAAGTTTTCAAAAGGTAGATTTTCACTCTTTTTTTTTTTTTGCTGTTTTTTCCCGACATTTGATGGCATTTTTTTGTTTGGTGTTCAAGAATTACTCTAATCTTGCAGAGGCTTCTGTGTTACTTGAATTTTAGTTTTTGAATTCAGTTATTGTTTTTTGGGTGTCATATACTCATGTTATAATTTTATTTCTTTATTTCTTTTCAATTATTTGTTTATTATTGCGATAATCATTTTTAACGCTTCACCTGAAATAATTGGTGAACAATTTGACTCTTTGGTGGGGGTAAGTCTCACAACTTTAAAAATTTGAGGTGGGATGTGGGAGATAGTTGCCTAGTTTGGTTCTCATTGATTTAGGTTAGGGCTAACTGGTAAGTATTCCCTCTGTCTGCCTTTTTCTCAAGATTGTTTATTGCTTTTGTGGGACCAATACTCTGGTGCATTGAGATATTTGGTGCATCAGGGGGCATAAAATGAGCAAGCTTTTATCGCTTGAGTGTTGGTATACATTCATTGTAATAGTGTGGATTTTGTTGTTGAAAATTTTTAGATACTTTGCTTCCAAATTCTTGCTGTGGATTATATTATATTTTATATCTGAAGTGCTCTGCATCTGAATGTGGTTTTTACATGAAATGTAGTTAATAGTTATTGTTAGAATATGAAACTATTGTTGGCCCACTTCCTAATAGCTTAAAATTTTGAGAGAATTGATAAACTATCATGGCACCAAAGCTTCTTATCCGAAAAAAGGGTACCGGAGTAGGAGTTTCTGAGTTCAAACCCCTGCAATTGCAGTTTCCAAAACTCATATATTGGGTCTTTAATAAGTTTAGGGCTTATAATTGAATATTCATGTGTTGGGCCTTCTAATTAATATATCTGCACACACGATTGTTGTTGTCCAACCCAAACATCAGGGGGAGTTTTAGAATATAAAATTATTGTTGGACAACCTCCCATTAGCTTAAGCTGTTGAGAGAATTGGTAAACTAATAGTTAAAATGTTACTGGTATCTTGGATTTAGGATTATATTTTAATTTAATAAAGGATAAGGTGAAAGCCGATGTTCTTGAACTAGTTGTCTGCTTCTGCAAGGTTTTGAAACTTTTAGATAGTAGAATAGGGCTGTTGAAGCAGCTAAACCTGATGCAGGACCTAATGGGAGTTTCTTGTTTCTTAGGGGAAAAAAAAAAGGATGTGTAAGGTGATCTCAGGTTTTGGACGATTTGGACGGAAAGGAATATAAGGACGTTTGAAGTTAAGGAAATGGGCGTGACAGACTTGTTCGAGAATGCAAAGTTTTTAGCATCTTTGTGGCCTTGAGGGACAAAGCGTTTAAATATTTTCTTTTGTCCCTGATTCTTCCTCAATGGAGAGATGTGATCGGTCACTAGATTGCATGTTTCAGATTTTTGCTATTGCATGCGTGTTTTTTTCTTGTCCTCTTTCAAGTGGATATCTTATCCTCTTCTCCTTGTATATATTCATTTTTCAATATAAGGAAGTTTTAGCATATAAAAAAAAAAATTCAATAATCAAAACCTGAAAATGAGCAAGCTGGTCTGTTCATGTAGAGGCAGTTCAATTATGAAATCCAGCAATAACATTTTGTTATTTTGCTGTTGTTGTTACCCCTCGGATCTAATCTTACTCCCTGTTTTTTGTTTTGTTTTTAATCACAACTCTCACACGTTTGGGTGTGGTTTATTTTTCTTGTACGTGTAAAAAATTGACATCTATTTATCATGATTTTCTTTTTCCATTTAATGTCAGTGATGTCTCGGTATAGTTATCACCCAGGTCTGCATTGGTGTCAAAATGCACAACATTCAATTTTATGGCACCTATTATCCTTTACTTCTCAAGAATATATATCTCCACATAATGATTCTCATTGGATCTATATAATTACTTTTGAAGGTGGTCAAGATGTCAGTCACCATGGGTGGAAATGAGCTAAGCAGATTTAGTGACACTCCAGGAGATGCTTCTTTGGATGATTTGTTTCATCCCTTGGATAGAAATCCAGAGGATCGGACGACCGAGGCTTCAACATCTGCATCGACATCACATCTAAACCAAGGGAATTCACCTGTCAATGATTCGGGGAAAAATGACCTGGCTACAAAATTGAGAGCTACAATTGCTCAAAAGCAAATGGAAAATGAAATGGGGCAAGAAAATGGGGGCGGCGGGAACTTATTAAGCTTTATGATGGGTTATCTTAAAGATGACGTAATTGATATTGATGGCTTGGTATGATAAGTCTTGATTCAATATCGTGCATCTTCACTGTCTTCAACCTCTTACTTGATATGACTGCTTTTCTACACAAGGAAAAAAAAAAAAAAACTCTTGATAGATTCTTTTTTACAGGTTTTTGATGAGAGGTTGCCTGGAGAAAATATATTCCCCCTGCAGGTAGTCGGCAGTCCTTTTTCTTTTCTAAAACTAGCTACATGCCATTTAATGAATTGGTATTAATAATATTTTTACTCACAGCTATTAGATATTGACATTATTACTTGATAACATTTTTAATTTTCTACATATAGCATGTCAAAGGTGAAAAAAAGGATTGGGCTTCTTTGGTATAGTCTTTACTTTGTCTTCTTGTTGGTGGTGGACTTCTTGTCCTCACTTACCTCTAATTTTGCATGTCTTGCATTTTCATTTATTTTATTGAATCTCTGTTTCTTATCAAGAAAGAAAAAGGAAAAAAACAAATGAAAAGCAAGTTAAAGACTTATCCAGTGGTAAATCCCAACGCTGTGATTAAATTGAAACGTTATTTGTAACAATCAACTTCTGCCATGACTTTCAGAAAACCTTATTGCCTTACCAAGGAAAGTTCAAATCCTACTTGACCATCTCTTTGTCAATAAGACTGTCTGTTAAGAGGGAAAGAAAATAGGAAGGAAAGAAAGGTATTTAAGAGATTAAAATTGCAGTGCTCGGAAGGATTTAAGAACCCTCACCCGATCTATTTCTTCCTCCTTTCCAACCAAAACCATGGGTCCTGAAATCCTTGCACTAATCCCCTCAGCCTCTCCCTCCTTCCACTTTCCCCTATTATGGTCCTTCAAACTTTAAGACATTAATCTCATGAAGGCGGCTTCACTATCTATATCGATCCAATACAAGTTTGGAGAAATTGGCTCTTTCTTTTTGATATATTTTTTTTAATAAATAGTCTTGTTGTCATGCATCTCCTCCAATTTCATTACTGCTGGAGGTGGAAGTTTTGGAATCCAACAAAAGTGATTTGTCAAGAAGGCATAAAAAACCTCCAACAAACTTGGTATTTCTTACACTTAATGTTTTTCTAGGCCCCTCTCCTCTTCCTCAAATACTTTCATTTCTGGCTCTAAACTTATTTGAAGTTCTATGAGTTAGTCATCAATCTTCTCAAAGCTCAATATTTGCTTTCTTGTTCTTTCTTTAGATGTCACAGAAGTCTTCTTCTTTTGGAAAATGTAAATGTGTCTTTTTTTTTTTGGTGTATCTCTTTTATCGTCAAAGATGGATTACCTGTAATTTCTTTTTGTTTCTCGATGGGTTTGTTTCGAAGGCTGTTGAGTTTAGCAGGTTAGTTGGGTCTTTGAGACCAGAGGAATCAGAAGAAGTTATTGTGTCTGCTTGTCAGAAGCTTATTGGCATCTTCCATCAACGCCCTGAGCAGAAAATTGTTTTCGTTACCCAGCATGGTTTGCTGCCTTTAATGGAACTGCTTGAAGTCCCGAAAACTCGTGTATGCCTTCTTTTACTGCATCTGACAAATATTTGATAGTTCTTCTTGTTACTCATTGAACTTTTCAATCAGCGTTGAAACAGCTAAATTTGGGAAGTTGTACTTTGGTTTTACAGGTTATTTGTTCTGTGCTTCAAATTATAAATCAGATTATCAGAGATAATACGGACTTCCAGGAAAATGCTTGCCTTGTTGGTCTGGTGGGTATTAGTTCGACCTTTTTTTTTTTTTTTTTTGGTAGTGTCTACGGATAATTCCATTTTTTTGGGCATTTAAACAGCTGTGCAATTGTTTGGAAAAGCTTTTTTTTTTTCTTTTTTTTTTTGATAAGTTGTTTGGCAACTGTTGCTCAAGTTTCTAGCAAGTATACCTTGTTTAAACTAGCGGATACATCTGTCTGAATCCTTCTCCTCTCTTCTGATTATTCGTCAAAAGAAGCCTTCCAGGCCCAAGAAAATATGCAACATAAGAAGTTTTCACTGAATGTTGATTCTTCTTCATTGTCACTTCTATTTTTACAGAATTTTAGTCCATTTCGTCTTCAATGTGCATGAACTAGCTTGGACTGTTTTAGAAGAGAGAGGAATGAAATCTTTTCCATATTACATTGTAATGTCTCTTGTTGGTGAACGTTATAACGTTGACCTTTTTTATTATTATTTCTTTTTATAAGAAAACATCCTTTTATCGGTGCAAATCAATTACGAAGGAAGGAGATTCTGAAATCCTCAGAAAGCAAAACACAAAAAGGATGACAACGTGAAAAATAGAAACATCTTGTCATATGTTGACTTTTTTTTCCCTTTGAAAAAGAAAATTGTTTGTCGACTGTTGTGCGAGTATATTTCCTCTTATTCTCATTAGCTTGTGATAGTTCTAGTTCTATATTCATTTAAATGTTTTGGCTTTTGAGTTAATTGAGTGGCATTTTTTTTTAAAGAAAAATCTTTGATATTCTTCTCTTTTCCTTCTCCGGAGATGTGTCATAGAATTTCTTATATACTATACATGAGAAAACTGTTTGCAATGGCATATAGACTTACTATTATTTCAAGTTTCATGGCAGATCCCTGCGGTAATGAGCTTTGCTGTTCCTGATCGTCCTAGGGAAATTCGAATGGAGGCAGCTTGCTTTCTGCAGCAGCTTTGTCAGTCAAGGTAGAGTTGTCTCCTCATGCTTACCAAAGTCATTCGTTTCTATCATATAAAGTAGATTTTCCATAAATCAATTATTGTTCTTTCTTGCAGTGCCTTGACATTGCAAATGTTTATAGCTTGTCGTGGAATACCTGTTTTGGTAGGATTTCTAGAGGCTGATTATGCAAAGTACAGGTTTGTCCTGTTTCTTTTTCCTTTTCACACATTATTCTTTTTCTCAGACAGTATGATCAGGTCATTGGTAAATTGAATGTTGCACAAAGATGAGAGAACTTTGAAACGTAAAGTTACACCTCAATGTTACTTTATTTATGATGTGCTGATTTGTGGGCCACACGTTTAATATTTCTCAAATGAAATAAGATGGGCAGCTGTCTCTCTCTATGTGTGTGCACTCCACTTACAAGTTTTTAAAATTTTGGACTTATGTTCTCAAGTTTTGTTTTGGATTGTATGATTATGTGGTTAGTTATACGTGTGTGTATATATATTAATTGGTTAGTAAATGAAAATCTTATGGACTGAACAAATACAGAGAGGACAGAACTAGAGATTTATGGTTTCTAAACGCCCAACCACTGTAGGAATCTAAATCGTTTAACTGTTTAATAAATTAAAAATAATATAATATCATAAAAAAAGATGGGTAAATCGTGGAATTTCAAAATCCTTTAAGGTTGATTGTAGACCTAACTATCCTCAAGGTAAATATTTGAATTGACTAGATGAGCATAAAAGGTTATTTTGTAGACTTTTCATCATGAATGGTTTTCTTCAATCGGTTTAAACACGAGTTTAGAATCAATTCAAAGTTATTTACTATCTCGTTAGGTCATGTGGGGGGTATGTCAACTTAGAGGAGGTCAAGAAGAATCGTAGGTTTTTCTCACATGTACTATTGATGCTGCTTTTTGGTTGAGTGACACTTTGGATATCATTGGTAAATCTGAGGCAGGACAGGGATTTAAGCTCGAGTTCACTAATTCCACTATGATCATATTGGTGGAGATTAGCAAACGTCGGAGGGGAGTTCTTAAGGATTATGAAGGTGCAAAATGGCATGGTCAGAAACTTATTCCTTCCTGGAGATGGTTCCAAGTCTGGACAGGGGGACGATGAGGGTTATAAGCTTGATGCTATTCTGGGAAGGGATTCTAGAGCCTCGTCTTCAATAAGGATAGGGAATGGTAGATGGACTAGGAAAGAGGAGACTTTCAAGGAAGCTGCCATGAATAGAGGAAAGGTAGTTAATGCAGAAGGTCACCAAAGACAGAGTCTTGCTCGAAGAAATCATGATACGGATTTTTGTAACACAACATCTGCAAAGGAAAAGAAGGAGAGTGAGGTTGTTAAGTCATGGAGATTGGCGGTGGTTGTGAACATGAAAAGTGTGGATTGGGCGTGGGAGGCTATCAAAAATGAATTAGAGAGGAAACTGTCAAGGTCAACTGAGTTGGTGCCATTAGCAGTAGACAGGGCAGTTACTTGGTGTAGGAATGAAGCGGAGAGAACTTCATTACTATCAGAAAAGACTCAATTTTATAGAAAGTCTCTTGTTGCAAACATGGAGCCATGGTCGTTGTATTCCGATTGGAATTACGCTCAAATCGAGGCAAGGAATAGCTGGATTGGAACCGGTAAATCTATGGTACTACCATGTTTTCAAAATCATAGGTGATAGCTGCGGTGAAGGAGAGAGGATACGCTAGATCAATCTTTTCTGCTATTTGCCAAGATTAAGGTGAGGGGTTTCAAGGATGGTTTAATGTCGCCAATTATGGAAGTTCCGTGTTAAGGAGAGAGGATTCATGTCGGATTATTCAATCTGGAAAATAATCAGCCTTATAGTACATTGTCCAACGGTAGCACTAGGGGTCTTATTTGGACAAGTATTGAGATGGCTGGAGATGCAATCGCTGGGAAGGCAGACTGTATTAACAAAGATTCCGGGATTATACTTTTGAAACGCGGCAATACTGGCTATACTGGCAATACTTTCGGTGAGGAGGCTGCTGTCGACGGGGACAAGAGTGAGATTCCGATCCTTATGTATTCCTTCATGTCTTGGGTGACACGTGGAAAGCGTTTAAGGTGGAACGCGTCATACGCTCAGGGTAATTCGTCTCACAAGGAATGGAGGTTAGGCTCGATAGTCGAAGAGACGTCCCTCGATTTAGATCATATTCGGTTGCCGCCTAAAGAGGGGTTTTTCCGTTTCCTTATCCAATAAATTCGGAGTTCTAGAAGATTCTAATCAGGTCATGCGGGTTGAATCCGTTCCATGCATACCTGGGCTGTTATTAGGTGGGCCCAACTCAGCAGTTCATAAGGCTGATGCTCTAGAATTGGGCTTTGGCAAGGCCCCCTCAAAACCGGTTAATTTTAGCAAAAAGCAATTGGGCCTTAGGTGGAGGCCCAAAAAGTAGGGTGATTTTATTAGGGCCGAAATAAAGAAGTGGGAAGACGATTTTCTGAGGAGGAAGCCTAGCAATCCGGTTCTACATTTTCCAGCGATGGGGAGTTAGAAAAGCACCGAATAAAACCTTATTCCCTTTTTTTTATCTACGATCTAGGTATTTCAAGAAAGGTCTAAACACTCAGAAGTTGGAGAAGGAGACCGATTTCATCCCAGATCTGCCTGGCGTCGATTTAGAGGAAGATTTTGTTGCAGATTCGGGGGGGGACTCTGACGTTATTTGGCACGGAGGTAATTTGGATGAGGATGCAGACTGTTCTCGTTCAGTTTCTTCTTTTTTGTCTTCAGAAGTTGATACGAGGGAGCAAGGAAATTTTGTCGGGCTGGAGGAGGTGAGGCTTCTCACCGCACCTGATGTGGACCAACGGGTAAGTCACACTCATGTGGAGGTTTCTGAGGATCGAGTGTTAGATCTCTCTCCATGAGCCTCGCTGGTTCCACCAAAAATGGAGAATATTTCGGATGATACGAGGGCAGTGACGGTTCTGGAAAGTAAGGAAGTAGAGTTTTCTGTTTCAGCAAAGATAAGGACATGCTCCAAGAATGAAAATCGGGAACTATCTTTGGCAAACAGGAGTAGCACGGTGAAAGTTGGGGGAAAGGAAGTTGAATGGAGTAAAATTAGGGAGGTTTTTCAGACTATGCAGCTCCAAATATCAACACCAAAGAAGGGACAACAAGAATCAGTCGAAGGCATGACCAAATTTAGCTGGAGGAGGGGCCGAGGGAGGGAATTGAAAAATTTGGAGTTTAACGTCTAGTATGATAGGATTATTAATGGGTTTGTTGATGGTCATAGATGAAGTTGATGTCATGGATTATTAGAGGAGGGAACTCTTCTTTGAAGAGAAGAGGAGTTAGGGAGGTGGTTTGCAAGGAAAAACCCAGATGTTCTGATTGTTCAAGAGGTAAAGGGGCGAGAGGTAGATAGAAGGTTTGTAGGAAGCATTTGGCAGTCTAGATTTAAAGAATGGGTTTTATTACTGGCAGTGGGTCAATCGGAGGGAATTTTAGTAGTGTGGGACGTTAGGCGGATTAAAGTGGTGGAGAGTTTGTTGGTAGATTTCTCGGTGACAATAAAGGTGGAAGGAGATTTTTAGTGGTTATCGGGAGTATACGGTCCAAATTGTTACAACAAAAGAAGTCAGTTTTGGGATGAATTGGCTGGTCTTTGGAGTTTGTGTGGGCAAAGATGGTGTGGTTGTGGCGATTTCAATGTTACTAGGTTTCTTTCGAAGAAGTGTGGTAGCGACCGAATCACTAGAAGCATGAGAATCATTGACAAATTTATCAGAGACTTAAATTTGTCCGACCCACCCCTACATAATGCAAAGTTCACATGGTCAAATTGCAGCAAAAATCCCATCTGTTGCAGATTGGATCATTTCCTACTTTTGGAGGGTTGGAAGGAGTTGTTCCCATTTGGGCGGCAAGTAGCTTCTATTAGAGCAGTTTCGGATCACTGCCCTATTACTTTGCAGACAAATCCTCCTAAATGGGGGCCTTCTCCGTTTAGGTTTTGATAATACCTTGCTAGAGAAAAAAGATTTTATCAGAAAATTGAAGGTGTGGTGGGAGGAAGATGAGGTCAGCGGTTGGGATGGATACAAATTAATGAGGAAGTTGAAAATGCTCAAAGAAAAAGTGAAGAAATGGAGTGTGGAGGAAGCTGAGGCTTCTAGGGTGGAGAAGGGAAGGATTCTAATGAGAATTCAGGAGATCGATCGAAAGGAAGGGGGCCCAGATTGGTTGGCGGGTTTTGTTGAGGAGAGACGAGAGCTTAAACATCGTTATTTTCACATTGTTGAGTGGGGGGACAGAGCGCTTAAATTGAGATGCAAGGCCACTTGGGCTAAGGAGGGAGATGTGAACACCAAGCTTTTTCATCAACTTTTAAATTCGAGGAAATCAAGAAATACAGTTTATAAGCTGGAAAATGCGGAAAGGGTTATTGTGGAAGATGAGGAGGAGATTATTAAGACAATTGTGGGATTCTATGAGTCTCTTTACAAATCCTCGGGAGGTGAGTTTAGTGGAGTTGAAGGTTTAAATTGGAGCCCTATTTTGGCTGCGAGTGTAGTGCTTTTGGAAAAACCATTTGAAGAAAGTGAAATCAAACACGATGTTTTCAATTGTGATGGAAACAAGGCACCTGGGCCAGATGGTTTTACTCTCTTTTTTCAAAGAATGCTGGGAGGTTGTTAAAAGTGATGTTCTTAAGGTCCTAGATGAATTTTGGAGGTCAGGTATCATCAATAATATAACCAATAAAACGTACGTTTGCCTTATTCCGAAAAAGGCCAATCCGAGCATATTAAAGGATTTCAGTCCCATTAGCTTGGTTTCAAGCTTATATAAGATCATTTCGAAGGTCTTGTTTAATAGACTAAAGATCGTTCTTGAGACAATTTCAGAGGTCTAAGGAGCCTTCGTTGCAGGCAGGTAGATTTTGGATCTCGTTTTGGTGGTTAATGAGGTAGTGGAAGATTACAGATCGTCGGGAAAAGAGGGGGTCGTGGTAAAGATTGATTTTGAGAAAGCCTATGACCATGTAGAGTGGAAGTTTTTGGACTTTGTGCTAGAGAAGAAAGGGTTCGGAGTTAAATGGAGAAGTTGGATTTCGGGCTGCCTTAATTCAGTGTCATACTCTATAATGATAAACGGTAGGCCTAGGGGTAAGTTTAGAGCTTCCAGAGGGCTTAGGCAAGGAGAACCTTTATCCCCTTATTTGTTCACTATTGCAGTGGATGTTTTAAGCAGATTAATTGACGGGTGTGGAAGTTTCCCTAATAAAGCCATTATGTGTCAGGAGAACAAACTCAAAATCAGTCAACTACAGTTTGCCGATGATACTTTGTTCTTTAGCTCTCCAGAGGAAGAAAGTTTTTCAAATTTATCAACTATTTTGGATATTTTTTTCTGATATCCGGGCTGAAAGTTAATTTGGAAAAAAGCACTACTCTGGGAATTAATACTGAGGAAGTCAGGCTGTCCACTTTGGCAGGAATCGTTGGGTGTTCTATAGGTACTTGGCCTATTAAATATTTGGGCCTTCCCGTTAGAGGAAATCCTCTACAGACAGTCAGCGTTTTGGGAACCGGTACTGATTAGAGTGGTAAAGAGGTTGGATAGTTGGAAGAAAGCTTTCCTTTTGAGGGGTGGTCGGCTAACTCTCATTCAGTCGGTTTTAGCATCTCTGCCATTATACTATATGTCGGTTTTTAGAATTCTGATAGGAACTTGATAGTTGGTTAGTGAAGTTAGTAGTTTGTTAGAAAGGATGTTATTAGTTAGTTACTGTGGACTTTAGTTGGGGAGGGAATTAGTTAGAGAAGGCAGGGGATATTAAAAGGGGGGTTCGGGAACTGAGGGAGAGGAGGAAAAATACTGGAGTCTTGTTGAGGAAGTCTTGGCTTAGGCTGAGCAAGGGGAGGTTTGGTAGTACCTCGAATCACTGCATTGTAATTCATTCTTTCATTCAATAAAGATTCATCTTTCTCTTCTCAATTCTTCTCATTTCTTGAGAATTGTCTTAGATCTTATCAAGTGGTATCAGAGCACTTTCTTGGGCGAAATTTGGAGAAGATGGAGGGAACATTAGGACGTTGTTAGCAATTAGAGAAGCCAATGTTTTCTGGAGAAGATCCGGATGCGTGGATAGCAAGAGTAGAAGAATATTTCTTAAAAAATCGATTTTAGAGCAAGAAAAAGTGATGTTCATTGAGGAGTTCTTGGAAGGTAAAGCTTTTCAGTGGTTCCTGTGGGAGGATAGAAGACAACCATTTGTTTGTTGGAGTGCATTAAAGATAAATTTGCTTCAACGTTTCAGACCAACACAAAGACAAAGATTGCTTTCGGAAACGAATATGGAGGAACAGAGGCGATTCTTGGCAGCGTCAGAAATAGCGAGATCGTCGACGGTGGAGGTTAGGGAACCAACGTCGGCGTTTGAGTGGGGAATCGCGACGGAGCAACGTCAGAAATCACCGACGGAGGAGACGCAACCTGTTTTAAGTGTCAATTTCGTAAATTCTTTCGGAGTCACGGCGAAATCGGGCGTCTATGGGACTGGGTTTCACGATTCCGGTCCGATTGGTTCCTATCTTCATGTGGTTAGGGTTGGGGTTAGCAACTCCGGCGGGATAGGTTCCGATTTCGGCGATTTGGGGACTGCATCTCGCAATTTAAGGTCTGGGTCTTTGAATTCAAGAGTCGTTAGGGCTGATTTTGGAGCAATTTTGACTAGGTCTTCGTCTTCCAGTGTGATTGGGACTGGGTCAGGGATTTTCAAGCTGCATTCCAGCAAGGGTTGGGCTGGGTTCTGAAATTCCGGCCGGATTTGGATTGGATGCCGAGATTCTGGCGCAATTGGGGCTAATTTCCGCGCATTTGAGGATGGGCCTCGCAACACCAATGGGTTTGGGGCCGGAATAGGGAATTTAGGCATGAATTCTGGTGAAATTAGGGCTGTGTCTTGGGCTGCCTGTGCGGACAGGGCAACTTCGGCAAGGTTGGGGCTGGACTTCCTAATTCCAGCAAGATTGAGGCTGATTTTGGTGCAATTGGAATTTACCCTCGAAAATTCAGCGAGTTTAGGGCAGGGTATGCAGAAATTGGTGTGCTTGGAGTTCAAATTAGGAAGTTTGCAAATGGCAGACTTGAAATTGGTGGGTTTGCAACTCCAAAACCCAACCTTTCTCTTGTTCACTGCTTTAGGACCCATTGTTGTTGAGTTCATGGTTCCAAGCCTCTCTGTTGTAGCCTTCGTCACCGCTGAGCTTGACTCTCCTAGAGTCAATGCTCCATTCGACGTTCCAAGATTCAAGCTCATCGATATGGGAAGGAAGAGGAGTCATTCGGCTGCAATTTCTTGACTTACACCTTGAGGACAAGGTGTTTGTTTGGGGCGGGAGTACTGATAGGAACTTGATAGTTGGTTAGTGAAGTTAGTAGTTTGTTAGAAAGGATGTTATTAGTTAGTTACTGTGTACTTTAGTTGGGGTGGGACTTAGTTAGAGAAGGCAGGGGATATTAAAAGGGGGTTCGGGAACTGAGGGAGAGGAGGAAAAATACTGGAGTCTTGTTGAGGAAGTCTTGGCTTAGGCTGAGCAAGGGGGGGGTTGGGAGTACCTCGAATCACTGCATTGTAATTTAGTCTTTCATTCAATAAAGATTCATCTTTCTCTTCTCAATTCTTCTCATTTCTTGAGAATTGTCTTAGATCTTATCAAATTCCTACAGTCGTTGCGGGGGAGATCGAGAAGTTAATGCGAGACTTTCTTTGGGAGGGATATTCAAAGGATACTGCTACACATTTAGTGGCATGGGATCAGGTTTGTAGGCCTAAGGAACTCGGGGGTCGGGCATTGGTAACGTTAGAAAGAGAAATGAAGCGTTGCTAGCTAAGTGGTTATGGCGATTTCCATTAGAACAATATTCTCTTTGGCATAGAGTAATTGCAGGAAAGTATGGATTGGATCAAAATACTTGGGACTCAGGGGCTGCCTTGCGAGTTACTTTTTGTTGTCCATGGAAATCAGTTCTATCAAGTGCAGAGGGCTATTTTAGGAATGTCAGATGGAAGGTTGGTTTTGGGGATAGAATCAGATTTTGGGAGGACATTTGGTGCGATGACAGGCCATTGAGTTCCAAGTTTCCTGCGCTTTACTGGATTTTGTCCAGTCCTAATCAGCCTATTGCAAGCTTTATTTCGGTTTCTGATCTCCAAGGTGGTGGCATTGTTTCGTGGGATTTTCAATTTTCTCGGAATCTGACGGATAGGGAGTTAAGGAGGTTTCCGAGCTCACTGGGATTGTGGAAAGGGTTAGAATTAATGGTGTGGTCCAAGATAGAAGGGGTTGGTTACTTGAATCCAGTGGTCTATTTCCTGTTAAATCATTCTTTTTTTTGTTTGACCTCTGAGGATTCAGGTCCAAGCTTTGCCTATTACACCCAGATTTGGAAAATCCGTGTCCCAGTCAAGGTCAAAGTTTTTAGGTGGCTTCTTGCTCTTAACAAATTAAACACATGATTTGTTGCAGCGTAGAAGTCCTTATCTCAACATTTCTCTGGGCTGGCGTGTTTTATGTATGGATAGTGGCGAGAAAGCAGATCATCTATTTCTTCACTACCCTTATTCTTTCCACATTTGGGCTTTTTGTGGGTGCTCCCAGGAGTTGTGCTGAGCTTCTCGAATTCTCTCCACCTTCGGGCCTGGGTAATCTTGTGGAGGGTCGGGTCGTTAACTGTTTGTTGGGGTATTTGGCTAGAAAGAAATAGTATAGTTTTTTAGGACCGTAAGGAGGCGGCCTCTGTTTTATGGGATAAAATTAAGTATTGGGTCTCCTTGTGGGTATATGGGGATAAGGTGTTCGGTCGGCCATTATTTTCAGATTTGGTTGGGGATTGGTCTCCATTTCTGTAGTTTTGTTTGATTTTTGTTTCAGCACTTAGCTTTTTATTTGTACTTTTGAACCTGGTCTGCCAGAGGAAAACTCTCCTTCAGCTTTCTAGTGTTCGTTTTTCAGCTTAAGAATATCCTCGTTTCTTTTCAAAAAGAAAAAAAGGGATATCTTTTTTTTTCCTTTTATAAAGTGTGGGGTGTATAGTTAGAGAAATCTTAAAATTTTTAAAGGTTGATAGGAAGAGTGCGTTGTCATTTTGAGATAGGATAAAAGTCTAGAGACCTTGGTTAATCAAGAGAATGACTTCAGGAATTTGATGTTCTCTGATCTTCTTCAGGATTGGGCTTTTGTTTTGCGTCCATTTTGAGTTGATTCAAGGAGGCAATCTCTTGCTCCTTTTCATTTGTACATAATTTTCTAAATATCAATATAAGATTTTTTTTTTCCTTTTGTTTTTTACTTTTTTTTAGACCTTTTAAAAGGGGAATCATGTGTCATGTGGCAATATCAATTTTCTGCGGTCATGTTCATGTGGTCTGTCTCATTCAATTTAACAAAAGAATCCACATAAGCAGCGTATCTGCATGTCTTAAGAATATTCAATTATGATTTCTATGGATTTTGCTTGTTTAATATAAATTTTGCGGGTGAAAGCTTAAAGGGATGTAATTTGAGGATATAAAAAGAAATGTTTTTTGTGAACAATTCTTGTTTTGATTTGCATTGAATATAACATTAAACCAATAGAAATGGACCCAAAGCTTCCACCAATGTGGTTGGTTCTTTGGTATGCTTCGCTTGAGTATTGTTGCCAGAGGATCCATACTTGCATACCTCACACTTAGAACACTCGTTCCCCTTGTGCATGCTTATTTGCATTGTGTGTACTGTTTATGAATTATCTACATGAATTTTCTTTTCCTCCCAGTTAGTCTTTTGCTTATATTTTCAATGCAAAATTGCTCATTAGCATTTTCACATCCAGGGAAATGGTTCATCTAGCTATTGACGGCATGTGGCAGGTCTTTAAGCTTCAGCGGTCAACCCCTAGAAATGACTTCTGTCGAATTGCTGCGAAAAATGGAATACTGTTGAGGCTAATAAATACTCTTTATAGCTTGAATGAGGCAACTCGTCTGGCTTCTATATCTGTTGGGGGTGGATTTCCGCTTGATGGATCAGTTCAACGACCACGGTCTGGTCCTTTAGATTCCAACCATCCCATTTTTGCTCAGACCGAGGCACCATTTTCTCCAACTGACCAAATTGCTCTTTCCAAAGTTAGGCATGGAATGATTGATCATCACGTTTCAGCTGGAGCATCTGAACCTTCACGTGCTTCAATTTCGCAGTCCCAAAGGGCAGATGGCACTCAATCAGATTTACGATATCTTCACATGGACATTGATAGACCTCAATCCAGCAATGCAGCAGCTGATATTTCAGTTCCTTCAAAATTGTCTGAGCAAACATCTTTAGAAAAGGCAGCAAACGTTGGAACCAAGGAATCTTCAGTGACTGCTTCTAAAGAGCGAGAAAATTTAGACAGATGGAAAAGCGATCCTTCTCGAGCAGATGTTGACCTTAGACAGCAACGAGCTACTAATTCATCTAATACAGCATCTACAGAGCGGCCTCCAAAGTTGATAGAAGGTGCACTAAATGGGTTTCCTACAACAGTAGCTACTCAGCAAGAGCAAGTTCGACCTCTTCTTAGCTTATTGGAGAAGGAGCCTCCTTCAAGACATTTCTCTGGTCAGCTTGATTATGTACGCCACCTCTCGGGTCTGGAGAGGCATGAAAGTATATTACCTCTCTTGCATGCATCACATGAAAAGAAGACAAACGGGGAACTAGATTTTCTAATGGCAGAATTTGCAGGTATTGGCTTCTTTCTGCTACTATTGTTTAATAATTATATTCCTAGAGCAATCTGCACCAACTACAACCAAGCTGTGCACGTGCAAACATGAATGTGCACACACAGACGCATAGGAAAAAAGTATCTAACTTTTCTGAGCGCACATGTCTTTTGGAATTGCATTCAACTTCTACTAAACGGATTTTGGCAACTCTTATTTGAGCACATCACACATCTGGTTTGGCAATTGGTAACGTCTGCCATGATCAGACGATGAAATGTTGGATTGAGAACGTTTGGAGTTTGGAGTTGGGGATAGACATTTTGGCAATGTCCTGTCCTAACCTTATTGTTTGTCATTTGGTTTGAGATTAATGAACATATCTTTTCAAGGGGAATTGTTTTTGTTGGTAGGTTCAATTATGGGCTTCCCTTTGGGCTGCTTCATCCAAGGGCTTTAATTATTATCTGCTTTTCTACAACTTAGGCATTTGCAGAACGTAAAAGTGTAATTTTGTTCAGTTTGTTTTTGTTTCAGTTACTTTGTTTCTCTACTTCCAACGTCTTCTTTCTTTCCTTTGTACTTCTTTTGCTTCTTGATAAAGTTATTGCTTTTTATGGGGGGAAGAATGAATTCAGTTTCGTCTAGACTTCTCTAATATATTTGTAATACATTATTGGTTTAATAGATGTCTCTCAACGTGGAAGAGAAAATGGAAATCTTGATTCTGCTACTAGAATTTCACATAAAGCAGCAAATAAAAAGATAGGAATGATGTCATCTAATGAGGGACCTGCAACCACAACAACATCTGGAATTGCATCTCAGACTGCATCCGGTGTACTATCTGGTTCTGGTGTTCTAAATGCGAGGCCAGGGAGTGCAACATCATCTGGATTGCTTTCCCACATGGTATCAACATTAAATGCTGACGTTGCCAGGGATTATCTGGAAAAGGTTGCAGATCTTCTTCTTGAGTTTGCCCAAGCAGATACAACGGTAAAGTCATATATGTGCAGTCAAAGCTTGCTCAGTCGTCTCTTTCAGATGTTCAATAGAGTTGAGCCCCCGATTCTTTTAAAGGTACATCCCGAACACTGAACTTTTTCTCAACATTTGAGCATGTCTGAGTCTGATATTTACCGTCTTTGTACTGATGCTACTTTGTCATTTCTTAGATATTAAAGTGTATCAACCATTTGTCAACGGATCCAAACTGCTTAGAGAATCTTCAGCGTGCGGATGCAATCAAGTATTTGATTCCGAATCTTGAACTTAAAGAAGGATCTCTTGTATCTCAGATACATCATGAGGTGCTCATACTTCTCCACTTTTCTAATAGTTTATGGCTAATCTATAAGATGTATTCAGAGAGTTCGATATTGAAAAAAGATGACAAGTATTGATCTTGGCTATTCTTTGGACCTTTATATCATGATACTAGTGATTTTCTTTTGTTTAATTCTTTTGTTATGTATTTTGTTTTAGTAATTTGCCTCCAGTTGTTTTTAAGCAATGAATTTCGTACAAGATGATATAATTGCATCTCATGGCATAACAGCTAGCTTCTCGCTCCTCCTCGTTATTGCTTGGTTCATGGTAGTGATAAATAACCAACAGAGAGCAAAAAGCAACATAAAGTTGCCTGCATATGGTTTCTTATCAACTTTAGAATACTGACACAGACTTAAAAGAGGTTTGGCTTGATTTTTAGGTTTCCTATTTTGTGTTCCTATCCTCTTGTAGCACGTGGATGATAAATTGCTTTTCGTTTTTCACATGTTGAAACAATTGATTACTTCCCACTCACCTGCTTGGGTATATAACTATTTACTTATAGTCACACATAGAAGTCTTTCGTCTGGCCAAAATAGGTGCTTTCGATTTTAAAAAGAGGAGAATTGTTTCACTGAAATGCCAATATTTTCTCTTGCACTCAGCGTATTTTTTTCTTTTGTTTTATTCTTGAAAATGCATCAGAACTGCATTCTTTTCGTTATTTTCATCAAACTCTTGTTTTCTTTCTGCATTTTTTTTTTTTCAATTTCCATTACTTTCATTTTTAGTCTTAGTTTTTGCAGAGGTTTTACCTTCCAGTAGTTTCCTCCTTCCATATGGTTCCAATTTTCCTTCCTTATGCAGGTCCTCAATGCTCTGTTCAATTTGTGTAAGATAAACAAAAGGAGACAGGAGCAAGCAGCTGAAAATGGAATAATTCCACATTTAATGCAATTTATTGAGTCAGATTCTCCCTTGAAACAATATGCTTTGCCTCTATTATGCGATATGGCTCATGCATCACGTAATTCAAGGGAGCAACTAAGGGCCCATGGTGGGTTGGATGTGTATTTGAGTCTTCTTGAGGATGAATTCTGGTCTGTGACTGCATTGGATTCAATTGCTGTTTGCTTAGCTCATGACAATGACAACCGGAAAGTGGAACAAGCATTACTGAAGAAAGATGCAGTTCAAAAACTGGTGAAGTTTTTCCAATGCTGTCCAGAACAACATTTCGTCCACATATTGGAGCCATTCTTGAAAATTATCACGTACGTGATTGTATATCCTTCTTGTCTATGTTCATTAAAAGTTATGACTTATTTATGTAGGGTCCAGGATAGAATCTATAAGGATTTTACCACTGACATGGAAGGCCCCTTTAATGGCCCTACTGCATGAGTGTTACTTGTTATTTTCTATGGGGTTGTGTGAATGACAGACTTTTTGACCTGGAGACATCCTTAACTGACGCTCTTATTTGCCATTAAAAAAAATCGCATTTTCTTTTGGGGGCTTGCAAATTTGCCATCCCTTCGCTTTTTGTTGGCACTGGGGGTTGGGTCATAAGCAGTCCACGTTTATCCATCCCTTAGTGATTTAAACTTGTGAAGTAACAACATTTTCTTGTTTGCAGCAAATCATCTCGTATAAACACAACACTAGCCGTTAACGGTTTGACACCGCTGCTCATTGCGAGGTTGGACCACCGGGATGCTATTGCTCGTTTGAATCTTCTGAAATTGATAAAGGTAAAGACCGAGCTTAGAAGCAACTAAAATGTTTATTTTCTCATGCTTTAACTTTTGTGGGAATGTCTCTGGTGTTCCTTCTTTTTTGGGAACACCGGTGTTCCCTGCTTATCAGCCGTCAGATCTGTATTACTTTTTAAATCTAATTTGACTTTTGACTAGATTTAATATAGATCTGACGATTGATAAGCAGAGAACACCGGTGTTTCCAAAAAAAAAGGGAACACCAGAGAAACTCTTAACTTTTGTAGACAAAGTTTAAATAGTTGGGAAATTTCGGCTTCATAAATTTGGTCTTTTAACTTTATTTGTATTCAGCATCTGAATTTGGATTCTTTTGTTTTCTTTGTTTTGTGCTTTCGTTTTTATCTTTTCATGCTTTGAGATTTCTCTGGTAGTTCTTTCTATACGTGTTGCCGGTACGGTGGTACCCAGTTTATTTGTGGCAATATATCTTAATATGCTTGGTCAAAATTGATTTTTACTACAAAATCGCTACTGTGTTTTATTGGATTGTTCTTGAGCTGGAATAGTTCTTCTAATGACTACTTGGCTAAGTTCGATTGAGATGATCTCGCCACGTTTGTGTCTTTTAGTTCTACTGGTCTAGAGTTTCAGTTTGCATTATCCAAACTATATTGGAGTTTGGTAGATCGTATTTGCTTGCTCTTTTTCATTTATTATTATTACTATTGTTATTTATTATTATTATTATTGTTAGGGAGTCTCTATGGTGTTCCCTCTTTTTTGGGAATACTGGTATTCTTGGCTTTTTTAGCCGTTAGATCTGATCAAAATCACATCAAATTTAAAAAGTATGCAGAACAGACAAATTCTTATATAGATTTAACAGAGCCGAAAAGCAGGGGACACCGGTGTTCCAAAGAAGCAGGGAACACCGGAGAAAGTCCCTTGTTATTATTGTGGTGCTCTTTTTCATTTATTTGCTTGCTCTTTTTGTTGTTGTTGTTGTTATTATTATTGTAGAAAAACTGTCCTTGTGCTTACTAATGCTGATTGTCATTGCAGGCTGTCTACGAGCACCACCCTCGACCAAAGCAATTGATTGTTGAGAATGATTTACCCCAAAAGCTCCAGAATTTGATAGAGGAACGCAGAGATGGACACAGCTCTGGAGGCCAGGTGTTGGTGAAGCAAATGGCAACTTCTCTGCTGAAAGCACTTCACATCAATACCGTTTTGTAAATTTCAGGGTATAATGACTCTTGATTGTATTTTTGATTGCTTAGGCAAAAGTTTAAGTTTTGTTTCTAGTTATAGAATTTTTAATGCCTTATTTTCGTTTTTCATTTTTGGTTTTTATTTGCTCCCTTGATGAGATAAAAAGGAAATTGGGGGAGAGCGCCATCTTTTTCTCGAGTGAGTCGGGTTGATTGTTTCAGTTCTATCGAGTTTTTTTTTTTTTTTTTTTTTTTTTTTTTTTTTTTTTTTTGTTTTTTTTTTTTTTTTTTTTTTTTTTTTTTTTTTTTCCTGTATGTCTTTTGAATTTTCCAGCTGACAAGTTTGCTAATGTAAACGTTTTTGATATGCTTGCAGTTAATCTTAAATAAATGAAGTTATTTGCTCTTTGCCCTTTTGACGTTTATTTATTTGTATGTTTTGCTAGTCTTGGTATTTTTCACATTATAACCGCGCAGAGAAATGAAGCTAAAAGGTCCAGTGCAATTACTACTTAGACTCTTGGTAGATACTTGTACTATTGTAGCAAGTCATTTTTTTCGAAAAAGTAGAGGCACTACACTAGGACAATACATAGCCTCCAAGTTTTCAATCAATACCAAGTAATTGCAGTATTCCAACCTATCCATACAAAAATACGTTACTGCTTTTTGTTAGAAAAACTTGGTATAAGTGTTCAGTCATGCTAACTCATAGTCAGGGTTAGAACATGTTAATTGTTGAGGGAGAGAGAGAGAGGGAATATGTTCAACCAAGATTTGGTATAAATTTGAAATCACATCCTTGTGCATTTTCTCATTCTATTTCTGGGAGCTACTTTCCACTCCTCAAGTTACAGAGAATGAATGCAGATTATATATCATCTTTACTCTTATTCTACATTTTTTAAGAAAATTGTGATGGTGAAGCTTCCTTAAGCATTCAGATGAGAGATGAGACCAAGTAAGGCATTTTCTATGCATTGAATGATCATATCCAAATTGCTCTTCAGCTCGAATTAGCAGTCTCTGGGCAAATGGAAACCCCTTTGCTATCTAAATACATGTGGAGGAAGAAGAGGGGAACGTGAGAGTAAATGGAGAGTTTATCTCAAAGGACTGGGAAAAAAAGGGAAAGCTCTTGTGGTGATGACTTGAACTTGATTGTTCACCCAATTGAACCTTTATTTTATGGTTGGGAAAAATTATGTATACAAGTGGTAGAGTAAGGCTTTCTTGTGGGTCGAACGAGAGATGAGGACTTGTGACTTGTGAGATATAAGGGGTCACATGGGATTGCCTTCTTAAAAAAAAAAAAAAAAAAAAAAAAAAAAAAAAAGGGAAGAAAGTTGTCACAGATTTCCCCCATCTAATAATTTGCAGCAACATATTTCTAAGCCCTTGTCTGTTGGCTTTTTAGCTAGACCAGGTTGGACATATAGTTTTGAGAGTTATAGCATAATCTTACTAATCACATTGAAATATAGTAACAAATTTGCAATAGTTTACAAATTGCAAAAACTAAAATCATTGTAACAATAATTATTACTACGTAATTTTGCTATTCTTAAAATATTCTATAAGGATTGTTGTATTTCAATTTGACTCTTGTAAACATGTCATGTAGTTCTAACTACTGAAATTTGGACCCCATCATATGTACATCTAGCTATCAAGGATCTACTTCAAGTACGCACAAGGCTGGGTTATGTAGCAAACCCAAGTCCTTGAGATTCTCAAGTATTACAGCTTTCGTTACTTTGAAAGTTCCTTATGATCCTTTTCTTTAGAACATTTCTATTATTATTCTTCTTTTTCTTCCTCCACTTTAAACAAATATATAAAAAACAATGGGATTCCTGCCCGGTGTTTTTAGCGCTAAGCAACTCAAAGGAAAGTTCTCTTCAAATGGAAGCCAAGGACGTCCCAAAAGGCTATTTTGCAGATTATGTTGGGATGAGACCAAAATGAAGAGCTTTATGATCCCTTTGTCATCCAATGGGAGACCTTACAATTCCTTGCGGAGCCGATATCTTTATAAACAGACGGACTACAAGAATAATCTGTTGGGTTACTATAGCAACTCAAACACACCTAAAGTTATTGGTGGCTCTTCCAAAAGCCCCCAAAACTCTTAACACACCTAAAGTTCGTTAAGGGTGTGAAGAATGGTTAGGTGCGGCTTGCACAAGGCCTCTAAGGGCTCGACCTTCGACATGTGAAGCTCTCCTTCCTCCGCCAAGTCAACTACCTCCGGGCCGATTCTCTTCCACTCAAGAGTTTGCATTAAGGATCCTATGCGAGGCTCACCACTTGTCGAGCTGAAAGAGCCCCGGGACAAATTCGTCTTCCCCCACCAAACATAAGTAACTTATTTATCCCTCGTGCGCCTGCATGTTCTCCAACTCTTTCAGGCATAAAACTAGTTGCATTCTCCTACAGCTTCTCATCCCTTTGAATGGTCCCTGTGTTGACAAACATCATCGTCCCTTTCGGTATGAAAATCCCGAGATGGTGCAATCATCACAAGTTTCGCGCGGTATGATTGGAATACTCGGTAACAACCTAAACGTCTCGTTGATTACATTATGCAGGTAATGTAAGTTTGGCAAGTCTGACTCGTTGATTAAGCGTTCATGTCCCACGTTAGCTTCTATCTTGGCCCATGCATTATGCATTGCCTTTGGATTAGTCAAAAGAAGTGACATTGCCCATTCAATTTTGAGCATTGTAGTATCGGTCCCAGCAAACAGCATTGCCTTAATATATATATACACACACACACACACATATATACATCCCATTATGGACCGATATTTAACATACATGCATGTATTAATTCACATAAACACAGTTGTCCATAAGATGCTTTAATTAATTACATAGTGAATTATTATGATTATGGAAGTCCACATTAAAATATTCCAACAGTCTCCAACTTAGACGACATAATCATACAACAAACATTCACTCATCACAGCATAAGCATCAACTAAGAATCTCATATAATAAACACAAGTCCAAAACAATCATGCATAATAACGTATCGACATGATACAATCATTGTACATAATCAGGCGCTAGAGATTCATCAAAGCATGACGACAACTTTAATATATGGATCAAAAACAATGATAGAGACTAACAACCATATGTTTCTTTTCAACTCGTCACTTTGCCAACTAAAAAGTGTGTCACCACAACATCACACATAAAGTGACAAATCAATGAATATGCATGTATTATTTGAGGCATAAGCAATCCTTATCAATAACAACATGGCACACACAAATGACAGTAAACTCCCACTAACTCAATATAACTATAGGCTCCTTACAGTCCTGAGTGGGATGCGTGTTCTTAAAATACCTAATAGGTAAGCCTTTAGTGGAACTGCCAACATGTTGTTTATAGGCGTGTTTTCAATAACAATGAGGCCTTTTACAATTTCTCTTTACAAAAATAGAATACACCATTATTATGCTTGAGCGGACAATGCTCCTGGTGTTCTAAGAGAAATATACTATTATGAAACTTTTACAACACAGTTTCAGCCGGTCCAGAAATGGAGTCAACTACTCCTAATGCTGAAACAAGGTTCCACAATCACATCACACAAATAGCCTCACGATATGCCACATACTCTGCATCACAGTCAAGGACGCTACGAGTGTCTATTTAACACTTTTCAACAAAGTAGCTCCTCCTTTTATCATTTATGTAGCCTACATAATCGGCATCACGAGATCTAACTACAACAAAAGTGTTGGTTCACCGACATACAACTATCTGGTACTTCATTCCCAGTTAATTCAGTCAAAATAACAACAATCACTCAAGTACCGAATCTCACGTCAACAACAAACTCAATAATAAGATGTGTGCATACTTGAGCATACAACAGGCTGCTAAACACGTAAGCATAAGGGACAATTTTCTCTGATCTCTCCATTGTGACGACCCTCCTAGGTGGCCGTCACTGTAGCTGAAATTAACTTGTACTTGCTGAAATTTCTTAAAATTTGCAGAACAATTTTTTTTAAATATAAGAAGGAATAATTTCATAAATCGTAACAATAATTTCAAAAAAAATGAATAACTAAATTTCTTAAAACTTTTCTTAAATTCAACTAAGATAAAACCTTCTAGAAATATCTTTCAAACTGAGAGGCATTTGAACACTCGTTTTAAATACTCTTTAAAAGCCTTTCTAAAACTAGCCAATTCAATCGGGCCATCTAATTTGACTTTAAAACGAATTTCGTGAGAAATCTTAAATTCAAGTACTTCTTAAAGTCCTTTCAAAATCAATCATTTAAATCACCATGTTTCAAATTCGTTTATTTGTTGCATGCACTATTGCAACGTTCTAAAACTTAAATACTCAAGACTAGAGTTGTTAGCTACAACCTTGGTTCTCTTAACATAAATATGTACATATACTTTTCAAACATACATGCTTGAAACCTTTGAATCATATATACATATACATGATTTTACTTAAACTTACTGCGGAAGATTTAAGTGTGAGCGGTATCCATTCCCATCTCCACCATTCGTCCGCCGATCGCCATTGCGCTTCAAGAATTGCTGATAGGTTTCTTACTTACAGCATGAACATATCTGAATGAGCTTTCGCTCAGCAAGTAGGAACTATCTCTCGTAAAATAACTGTAAGTACACATGAATAAATATGCATGAGTTAATTATGATTAATTATGATCATGTCTTATTGAATTCTTATTATCTAATCTTACCTTACTTACTTATGGGCCCGACCACTTGCGCGCAATCTTTGGGACATGAGGGTTTGCAAGATCCCCAACGACACCGAGATTATAACTGAACTGAATGCCTCCCTCTTAGAGGATTTTATTATATTTTTTTCTTCTCCCTTGCGGAGCTTGAGTTACCTCCCTCTCAAAAGCTAGTACGGCACTCAACTGAGGTTAATCTTATAAGTTTCTCTTGACTTATTAAGGTGTATAAAGCATAAACATGCATCTATAACATGTGTAACTTTTTCTTTGAAATTTATTCATACTATAGGCGAGATTCCTACTTACCTGATTTACAGAGTTGGAATTCACTTTTCGCCAAATAGCCTATTCTCTTACTTGCTTACTTATGAAAATGAACACCCATTAAGAGTGTGAGTTAACTGTCGTTTGCTATTCTATTTTAGCAGCTTTTGAAGGAAATCTAATCATTTCCTTAAGGCATGTATTCCTCTCCTTTACTGAAGGATAATTTACTATAAGGATCAATTTATTAAATCCTCAAAATCTTATTTTTCTTAATTGCCCTTATCATCCACTTGTCTGGATTAAAAATCAGTTACCCAATCTAGTAACTTATTCTCCATAATTTATCTCATTGGACTTGTTATGATATTAAGGCCTAATTCGGCCTAGAAACTTATTCACGGCGTTCTAACTCTTAGGCTGCTGAAATTTAAACTCAAACGGGGTCTCTTGAATTAATGCGGGCATTGTACCCACATCTAATATTCGTAATTCTAAGGACCTAACATATTGGGCTCGTAGGTGCCCGTCGGGATGTTTTGCTCGAAAAACTATTAAGTTTTTAAAAGAAACCATTATTCTTGAAAACTTTCTTCAAGAATATTTCCGTTAAAATGAGATCTGACACCATAGTATTTTACTAAAATCACATCTCGGGTTTTTTGATAATCTTTTGTTAAAAAACCAACACTGTGTTAGTTTTGTTTAGTTAAAATTGTGCAGATTCTGAAATTCGCATTTTACTGCATCTTAGAGTCGGATTTTAACAATCTGTTCTTCACAACAATTCTTCGTCTCTTCGAGATCTAAAATATCATTTTCAGAGAAAGCTAAAATTCAACCTCTAAAGGCCTCGTCTGGCTGAAAACAGTTGCTGCCAGCTTTTTTCTGAAACTGTTTTGGATAGCGTGTACTGTTTTTGAAAAATGCATCGGAGAAAGCTAAAATTCAGCCTCTAAAGGCCTTGGGTTCTCGCATTCTGTTCTTGATTATTTGAAAGACGTACCAACGATTAATTCAATGTCACAATTCTGCAGAGTTGTTAATTAGAATATTTCGACATGCTTCGGTCCTAAGCAACACCAAGTCCTTGCAAAATTTTGTAAATTTTCAAGACATGGTAGGGTCAAGGGGTTTTCTCTGTTTATTTTTGATATTGAAGCGTTGGAAGACAAGCCCATGTGATCTCTCTCTCTCATGAATCCCTTTTCTCTCACTTGAACCACCAAAGTCTCGCTCCACCATTCATTCCAAATCAACATAATATATCCTTCTTTATATTCATGGTATAAATAAGCATGTGAATTGAGGTTAAGAAGCAAGACAATCTCACCACACAAGCAAGAACTTTCCTTGTTTTCAACTTCTTTTGAGATCTTCTCTCCACTTCTCCATTCTCAGCCTTTCTTGATTTTCCTCTATACAGATATACAACAATGGGTTTCCGTTTGCCACGAGTAGTTCCCGCAAAGAAATTTCTTCGGCGATCTTTCTCCAATTCAAATAAAGCGGCTTCATTCGATGTCCCAAAAGGCCATTTTGCAGTTTATGTTGGAGAGGATGAAAAGAAGCGGTTTGTAGTTCCCTTGTCACTATTGAACCAAGCTTTTTTTCAAGACTTGCTAGTTCAAGCTGAAGATGAATATGGATTTGATCATCCAATGGGGGCTCTAACAATTCCCTGCAGAGAAGATGTGTTTCTTGATCTCATCTCAAACTTGAATGCTTCATGAGAGTGACTAGGATCAGACAGATTCATAACTAACAATTTTGTAAAGTCGACACTGTCAATATAGTATACAGTTTTTCTACTTTTTTTTATTTTTTTCCTTGTAGAGCGGAAAATGGTTCCCAGAATGAGATATGTACAAAGAAGTTTATTGGACAGATTAATATCAAATATTTTATGAAAATATTTTTTCTATTTCTTTATAATATTTGTTAGTGAATTGATTTTGACATCATTTTTATTCATCTCAACATGTTCTATTTTTCCCTTAAAATGTTCAACAACAGTGACTATTTAAGTTCAGTAGATGCAGCAGTGTGTTTGTAATTTGTTCCCAAATATTCTTTTGCACAATAAAAAATTCAGGTCCTTTAGGATTTCAACTTAGTGCAGCATATCTCCTCTTAGAAGTTTAGTATACGGACAGAAATTAATGGTCCAATATAGTTGGAATAATTTCTTTTTATGATCATCACCATATATATTCTCGACTTAATTACTAATAACAACAACAACAAGCCTTAATCCCAACTTAATTGGGGTCGGCTATATGGATTTCACTTTTCTACACGGCTTTGTTCGAAATTAAACTTTCCTGAAGGCCTAGATCTAGAATGTCTTTCCTAACGACTTCGGTCCACGTAATTCTTAGTCTACCCCTCCCTCTCTTAGTATTAGGTATAAGAATGTCCTCCCAAGCACGAACTGGTGCTTCTAACGGTTTATGTTGGACATACTAAATTACTAATATTGAAAAAAAAAAAAAACTTAAAAATCCAAGCTTAGCTGTTGGTTTTAGTACTGCAGAAGAACATCACATGTTATGTTGGTTTGGTGTTTCTACTCAAGCCATCATCCAAAAATTGAGAAAGGGATAAGATGTTTGTTAATTGATCTAAGCAAAAGGTCAAATACTTTGTTTTTGGTAGGACCTTAGCAGAGTTAGCCAAACTTTAGTGAAATAATAACTATCAGACACTCTGATCCACAAAATAGTATGTGGGCCAAATAATTTGTTGAATCAGTTGGTAGAAGGAGAAGTACATGTCTTAACCTTGTCTTTCAAACAAAAACATTTCCTATTGGCATGCTCATAATTTTATGATAGATTAGGAAGGCAAATCCATGTGATATATCTTGAATTGCTGTCTCTCCAGATTTTTCATATATTTATTTGCTTTTTGGTTGGTATCTAATGAGCTAACAATTTTTAGTAGACTCCCAAATGCAATTAGACAATTAATTTCATAATACAGAGTCCTGCAAAGTTGGTAGCTAGCATATAAACATGCTTGGGTCACAAGAAACAACAACTTCAAGCTAAATTTGAAGTTTACAATGGAAGAGGTGGGACAAAGTGTTTCCCCTATTAGTCCGAATGATAATAAAGAGTTGAAAGACAAACCCATGTGATCTCTCATGCGTCATTATCTATTACTCAACCCAGCAGAGAGCCTTGCTCCACCATTCATTCAAAGCAACAGAGGATATCCTTCTTTAATGTTTTTATTTATAAATAAGCCTTCACTTAGAGGCTAACCATTCACTACACAAGCAAAGCTTTCCTTTTCTCGACATCCTTTGAGATCTTCTCTTCATTTCCCTATACAACAATGGGTTTCCGTTTGCCACGAGTGGTTCCGGCAAAGAAATTTCTTCAACGATCCTTCTCCAATTCAAACAAAGCAGCTTCAATGGCAGTAGATGTCCCCAAAGGCCATTTCGCAGTTTATGTCGGAGAGCATGAAAAGAAGCGGTATGTTGTTCCTTTGTCATTGTTGAACCAACCATCATTTCAAGACTTGCTTATTCAAGCCGAAGAAGAATATGGATTTGATCATCCAACGGGGGGTCTAACAATTCCCTGCAGAGAAGATGCATTTGTTGATCTTGTTTCAAGCTTAAATGCCTCACCAAATTGACCAAAATTAGGAACATTCATCAACAAAATTTTGTAAAGCATAGACACGGTCAATACAACATTGTAGACCTTGATTTTTCCCCATTTTGATTCTCTTTTCAATGTGGAGTGTGAAATGGCTCCCAGAATGATAAATTTATAAAGGATTTTATCAGAATTACTGGTTCAAATTTTCTCTCGAAGTATATTTCATGTCTCTTTAGGCCTTGTTTTAGATTTTTGTCCACTTCTTTTTCATTGACATCAACATGTCGTCATCTTGGGGACAATTAATTTTTTCTTGAACTTCTTAGTAATGACTGTCATTTTTTGAAGTAATATGTTGTTATATTTTTCATACTTTGTTTCCTAACCAAATTTTTTACGAAACTAATAATTCATTCATTTTGGAGTTTCCATAAAATAAATAAATAAATAATAAAGCTTGGATTGTTAACACGATCCAGTAGAGTTGTCAAACGTGTCGTGCCGGGCCGGCACGGCACGCTTGACCCCAGACCCATCACGGGCCTGGGCCGTGCCTGTGCCGGGCCTGAGAAGAAAAACTCAAGCCCGGTCCAGGCCTTGGCCCTAGTCCATAAGGGCCAGGGCCGGGCCTGGGCCCAAGCCCTTCATGGGCCGGCCCCGGCCCTTGTTTTTTTTTTAATTTAATTAAAAAAAATATCAAATGCCCTAAAAGATGTGATTTTATTGAATTGACGTAATAGGAGTATACGTAAATGACTGCCTCGTTAAAAATCTTGCTAAGTAAAACCCGTGAGGAGATCGGGACAAAACCTTAGCGAAGGAAAAAAGAGTGCAGTAGCTAGGAATAGTAAATTACAAACCTAAGTGCTTCGAGAAGATTCTGTTATTTCTAAGTTAGAAAAATATTCGTGCATCGAATCATCTGTGTATTGTTGTTTTCGTCTTCTGGCATCTTCCCAGTCTTTAACGCACATTAGTCCCTCCAAGATATCTGGATTTATTCTGCTTCTCTTCTCGTCAAGAATTTGGTTGCTTGCGCTAAAAGCTTGCTCCGATGCTACCGCTGACACTGGAGTTGTCAGAATGTCACGAGCTATTATGGACAGTGTTGGAAAACGATCTGTCTTGCTCTTCCACCACTGTAAGATGTCTAGTTTGTCGTCATCGATTACAAAATTTGCTTCAAAATATTTGACTAGTTCCATAGACGCTTGTGTTGAGGACGATCCTGCAGTTTTCTCTTTCTTCTTCAAGAAACTCCACGACGATCCTTTAGGCCCCGAACTGCAAGTTGACGTCGAAGTTCCCTGTTTTTTTTGACATGTGCCATATTTTGCTTCATACAAACTAAAAACCTTTTATAACATTCTCTTAGCGTCAGTAATAGTTAGTTGCATATCTATTTCTAAATTTTCTGCGGTAGCAATCATCAATGAGTCAGTCCCATCTACTCCGCACCTAGGATCTAAAATGGTTGCCAATGCATATAACATAGGACAACCTGACCAATAACTTTTACATTTATTTTCCATTAAGTTAACTATATTTCCAAAAAGTTGTGTAGCCCTATAATAAGAAAATATTTCTGAAATATTAAATAGTTGATGTAAAGCTAAATGAGCAGTATGATAATAAACTCCAGAAAGTAATTCAATAGCATTGTAAAAAACTTCTAGAAATTTAAAGAAATACTCACCAATCTGCCAATCTGTATCGAAAATCAAAAGTTGATCGTTCTTACTGTTTACGTACGTCGTGATAAGCTCCGAATAAGGGAGTGCTGCCTTCAACATTAAATAGGTGGAATTCCACATATGTCTCACGTCAATTGGAAACTTTCTTGGGCGCTTATGACTATTCCTGCAATATAGTTTGAATTCTTGTAGCCGAGTTTCAGAACTAGATATGAATGATAATGATTCTCTAATATTTGTTAGATATTAGATGATATATGTTCAATTCCTGCCTGAACTACTAAATTAATTATGTGACATGCACACCGTTGATGAAAAATTTCCCCTCCAAATGTCGGTTTCAAACTACGTTTAAACAGATTAATTGCAGCTGTATTAGCTGACGCATTATCAAAAGTAATTGTTAAAACTTTATCTTCTATCCCATAAAA